GATATGTTAGAATTATAAATAAGTTTCAAAATAATGTCAAACAAATTTTAAAATACAAATCTAACTGTGATTTCCAAACAAGTTTGAAAAATTAAACAATTCAAAATGTACTCCGTAATTCCATACTTTATTTTATATAACAAAGCGATCCTATAGAATTTTCCTTTTAATGTCTACTAATAACATTGCATAAAATTGCTAACTAGCTCATCTCAGATACCAATGCCCACAAATTTAATTAATGTGAATTAGATTCTTTTTAATTAATGCATGTATGATTGACTATAGAACCTAGACTCGTTTAATTAATTTCAATATGATTTATTATATTATTATTTATTTTCTTATATAGGCGGTCAATTCAGTTGGAAATAATAGATACAAAAAGAGACGTGAGAGTGTGTGTATAGCGTGACGCGGGGACCACTTGCAAAAGCAACTACCTACCTCATCATTTGATGGTCGGCACACCTCTCTCTCTCTCTCTCTCTCTGTGTTTGTGTGTGTGTGTGTGTGTGTGGGTGGAATTGGATATATCCAGATTCTCGAGTTTGTCCGTTACATTTTTGGTCTTCGTATTTTTGTTACGAAGGTTACATTATTGGCTTTATTTTTGATAGGAAGGAGGTAGAAAGTGTGACTCTTCATTCTCATGCAAAAGTGTATGATGTATGCTTTCCCTATTAAAAAATAAATAAAAAATTTTGAGCGGTCCTAAAATAATTATTCACCTTTTATTTTTAAATAATATATTTTATATATTTTCATATTTTTTATTTAAATTTAAAATTTTAAACTTAAATATCTAAACATTAAAGGAGTAAATTAATAACCGTTTAGGACTCATTTCTCTCCTTAAAATTTTTTAGGACAATCAACTTGAACGGTGCAATCACTAATTTGTTCCAAAACATAAAAAGAGAGAAGAATAAAGGGCATTTTAGTTTAAATAGTTACGAAGAAAAAGTGGAGTATCGCATTGATATGTGTATGTATACACACACTATGCCCACATATACTTTCTCCCCCTTCTCAAAAAATAAATATATATATTTTTTTACTGAGATTGATATTTCAGATGCTCTAGAAATTAGTCTATACAGTCAGTCTATAGTTACCTCCTCCTAACAGTTAGTTAATTTAGGCGATTATTTTGGTAAATGTGCAATGACGTCATTGACCTTATGCTAAGTTCGATGTGCAAAAATAAAATAAAATGGAATATTCATTTGAATCATTTCTTTATTTAGTATGCAAGGGAATGGTCATTCCATTTGAATGAAAATGATCTATCCCACAACTAAACTTATAGAATGACCATTTCATTCCCAAATAATTTTTTTTAAAAAAAAATTAACTTCCCAAAAAACCCTCATGTTCCAAATCTAAAAACCACCACTACCTTCCACTACAACTACATCTGTCTTTCACCACCACCGCCACCGACTTTCACATTCGCACACCGCTAGCTTTCTACCACCACCATCTAGGGGTGCACAAAAGAACCGGAACCGTAGAACTGGAACCGGGGGAACCGAAACCGTTTTTTTTGGTTCTTACGGTTCTGATTCCTGTCCCGGTTCTTAATTTCGGAACCGTGAGTGTACGGTTTCGGTTCTGGTTTCAGCCCGTGGGAACCAGTAAGAATCGAAACCGTATATATATATATAATTAGTTATTCTAAACTAAAGGCCTACAAGCAACCACGTGTAATCCACAAAATAAAACCCAATCCTCAATTCATCTAACCATCTAAACTAATTACCTCCATCTGGACCATCTTTATTCTCTCGACTCTGAACTTGCCCTCTTTTTATTTTCTTTCTCATAACTGAATTTCCCTCTCTCTCTCTACAACTGCAAACTAAAAAATCTACAAGAATCAGAAGTTCAAAACCCATATCGGCATATCATTTCAGATTGTTCAAAAAATCAAAACACATATCTTTCAGTTTCCATCGCTGATGTTCCAGTTTGGGTTCGCAAGCTTCAGCCGCTGTCTCTCAACTCTCAAGCTTGCCCCCCCCCCCCCCCCCCCTCTCTCTCTCTCTGTAACTGCTAAACTTGCCCTCTCTCTCTCTGCAATTGTAAACTACAAAATCTACAAGAATCAGAAGTTCAAAACCCATATATTTCAGATCTGTTTGTAAGAATCAAAAGTTCAAAACCCATATCGGCATATCATTTCAGATTGTTCAAAAAATCAAAACCCATATCTTTCAATTCCCATCGCTGCTATTCCAGTTCGGGTTCGCAAGCTTCAGTCGCTGTCTCTCAACTCGTGGTAAACGATTCTCATAGAACCGAACTGATTATACGGTTCGGTTCTAATCTATACGGTTCCGTTTCCTGTTCCGGTTTTTAGGAACCGTTGTGAACGGTTCCGATTTCGGTTCCAACCGGAACCGTGTGCACCCCTACCACCACAGCCACCTTTCATCACCGCTATTGCCTTTCAACACCTCCGCCACCAACGCCACCACCGCCACCACCTTCCACCACCACCGCCTTTCACCATAGCCACAGCCTTTCACCACCTTCCACCACCACCAGAGCCATCGCCGCCACCTTCCACCACCACCACTATCTTCTACTACTGCCACCTCCACTACCTTCCACCACCACCACAATCACCTCTATTGGCTTCCACCACCGCCACCTACACCATTATTTTCTTCAACAACCACCACCACACTCTGCCAGTACCACCTTCCACCAACACCACTACTGTCTTCCACCATTGCCACCGCCGCTGCCAAATAAAAACACCTATAGCGACCTGTTTGACAAGTAAACTTGTTGAACAAGTATATTTAAAAAAAGGAAAGAGTCAATTAAAAATATGAATGGTAACTAGTTTGGACAAAACTTTTAACGCTACAAAAGAATAGAAATTAAAGACCTGTTTTACAAGTAAACTTGTTGAACAAGTATATTAAAAAATAATAATAATACGTAATAAAAAAGGAAAGAGTCAAATATGTAAAATAATACAAATATGGTAACTAAGTATATGGACCGGGGCAAGCTATGCAAAGTCCCACCGCCATTCCCAACTCTATTTAAATTCTTCATTGATCACGTAGCAATTACACCAACTAGATCCTTTCAGTCAACAATTAATTAATGGCTTCAACAAAGGCGTTCCCGACCTTCTATCCTTATGGAAAGAAGGCTTCAATGATGGAAAGGTTCTCAACCCTTGTACGTCATCCCCTCACGGCGTTCTCATCCCTTCTCCCTTGGGGCCGAACAAAGCAGGTCCACAAGTGGTACCAGCCAGAAAATTGCCCAGTTGCATGGCTTGTTTCATGTAAGTGAGTGTGTGTAAATTTATAGAGTGGAGTAATATATATATAAATATTTTTTTAATTTGATCATATTCATGAACATGCAGCAGCTGCTTATAACACAAGAAGCGAAAGAACCGTCGTTTGTGAGGAGAAACACACAGATGAGACGTTTGAGATTAGATTGGAGATGCCAGGTATCCAGAAGAAAGATTTAAGGGTTTGGGTTGAAGATAATTGTGTTAAATTCAAGGCGGAAGAGTCAAATTACGATTATAATGGTTATTATGAAGCTGTATATGATGATATGGGACGCAATTTGAACTGTCCCAGTAAATACATTGGGAAAATCCGTATTCCTGAAGATGAATATGATGAGTGCGAGTATGAGTTGGACAAGACCCAGGGCGTGATAGGCGGTGGTGTTCTCAAGCTGCTCATACCCAAAAGGATGAAAAAAAACATGATCACCATCAAAGAATGGGAAGCGACCCCCATAGAATGGAAAGTGAAGCCAATAAGACTGGGAAGCGACCCCCAAAGAATGGAAAGTGAAGCCAACAACTGATTGATGACAGAGAATCGTTTTGTTTTACTATATTAATATTGGAGTACTATTTTATTTTTAGGGCTAGGGTTCCTTCTTTTACTTTAGCTTTATATATATATATATATATATATTTAATGATACTTAAATCAATGCGCAGAAATATATATTCAAATCATAAAATAGCAATATTTCAGAATTTTCATGATAACCATCTAAATATTTTATACATTATTTATTTTTGTAATATTTTTTTATTCTTTCACTTCACCCCTGCATAATTCCATAATAAAATAAATAAATAAATCCTCATTAAAGCACACTTTTGCACGAGTCACTCAAGAAGATCTCTTTGGTATTTCAAACACTATGATATGGATGTGTTAAAGACCATTATGCCCTTGTTACAGTTACAACTAAAGGCAGCCAAACACCACCTCTAATTTCACAAAATCCACAAATCTGTTGCCCTTGTCCACTAAACCTCTCTACCTTGCGTAAAAACTTAATGAAGTATAAGAGAGTACAATATTCTTGTATACCTTAAAACAATGTGGTTATATACACTATGACAAGTTTAGCCTTTTTTTCTTTATTTAACTGCATTATCGACGCCCTTTTGTTTTTTCTTCCAAAGTTCAAAAAAGAAAAGAAAAAGAAACCCTAAATCAAAAGCTTATATAAGGAGTATATAAGGAATTTTCACAGTTCCGTATGTAAAATTAATAAATATAAAAAGAAAGAAATTAGTGTGAAACAACATTCATGTGACGATGATAAATAAAAACAAGAGTATATGCATGATTATCAAAGCTACAAAAACCATGCAATTTGATAACACCCACACTGAGCAAAAACCACCAGGATATAGCATTAGTGGGAACCACATGAATCTGATCTGAGAGGATTTTAATCCTAGTATTATGTTGAACATATATACAACCACATTCATATTCCAAAATAAGGCCTTTTAACAATGCCTCCACACTTCTGTTATCAGCAAATACAACAGATATTCTGTTATCAGCAAATACAACATATACAGAGTGGCTATTATTATTATACAAAGGTGGATCGAAGGTGGAGAGGGTCTTGTGCTCCATCGAAGGTGGAGATTTAACCACCAAGTGGACCCACATATAATGCTCCACTCTCATCACATAATGATGCAATCTTCACCTTTGAAAGCAAATATCACATCACTCCTGCTCTAACATTGTGCAACACATATTGCGCACGAATATAAATTAATCCGAAATGTGATCAATAATCCAACACTTATAATTGATCCGCATTGGCAAAACTGCTGTAAATTGATCCATACTCTTTTATAAACTATTGCATCGAATTATCTCTGAAAAGCAATTTTCCATGATGCAGCAAGTATTCAATAACACATGCCCCAAGGGAATGGAGATACCATTGGTTTCCCAACAAAAAAAAGAAACACAAAATTTGTTCGTTTCGTTGCCTTCTCCAACCCCAACAGAGTAGTCGTTCCTCCCCGTGAGTTGGAATAGAAATTATGCCTGAAAGCAAGTACAAAATCAAATCGGTTTATTAAAAAAACATAACCCAGGTAACCTAAGAAAAACAATAACGTACTCAATAACCAAAGTTTGCGATCCCCTAGAACCGTAGAGATGGGCAAGAACTGGTACACCTAATTTTCTTTCAACCAGACCTGCTTGCTTCTTTCTATAGTAGCTCCTATCAACTATTTGAGGGAGGAGGAGCATGTACTATTTTCCCACAATTCAATCCACAAATGTATACCAAAGATGACATCTAAATATTCTAAACTCTTCGAACATTACTCATCTTTTTTAGCCTAAACCACACAATTTAAAGCCTTCAGGTATTGTGACTATTGTCTCAACCTTATTTTCCTTATCATCTCAACAAGCTTAACCCTACCACTTTTAAGCACTGAAGCTCCATGCCTACTGTTTCAGGTTCGTCAACAGACTCAACACCGATCACCTTCCTGAGTTTGCCATCTCATCCATTTTAACATCCTCGCAATGTGTTCTGATCAATTGCACGACATTCTATTCTAAAAAGCAACTATAGTGATAAGTGATATCAGGTTATTCTCTCATTTAAATCACACCCAACAAAGCCTTAAATCCTAACTAGTAGAACTAGTCCAATACTTTATAACAATAGTATATTGAAAAAGACATTGACATACAGCTAAACACGATTTCCATATTTAGAAAAAAAAAAAGGACTGCAATATTGAGGCAAACAACAGATAATGGAACATCATTTCAACTTTTAATCCATATTTTCATGTATCTTATAATTTAACCAAAAAAAGAAAAGAAAAACGATTCAAGGTTGGAGAAAAAAGAATGACACCAGAGATCCAATTACCATATTAGGAAAACAATGGATCTCAACTACAATGGCACCTTGCAATACGATTAGAATTACAATCACTACAAACTCCAAACGTAAAGACTAACCTACCTATTAGCTCGGGATCAAAATTTTGAAGCTTGGCTTATGTATGCTGAATACTGTTAACCAGTTGCCTCTGCAAGCGTTTTGCCCTTGCGCGGTCTCTTCCTTTTCCTACTCCTGCTTCTGACAGTTCCGTCACTATCCCCGCTTTCCTGCATTCAAACTTCCACATCTCACCAAAAAGATGACAATAGAAAATGTACAGAATAACGAATTATAGCAGATCAAAAGAAATACCAAAATGCTAATAGTTCTGGCAGGATCTTAAGATTATTAGTCAGGGTTTCCATAACATAAACCAGCAACATCATTCAGAGAATGCTATAATGATGACCCTTTTTGATACTCTCAACCTGTAGAACCTCCAAGCTAACATCATGGAAATTTTAGAATTTGACTTCATCAAGCCCTAACCAACTATTCGGGACAAAATTGTTGACATGCCAACAAATGCCCTCCAAAAGATGCACATAAAACATAGAATATCCTACCAGAGGCAAAGCCACGGTGTAACAGCAATGATCCAAAGACTCCTTTGGTTTGGCTCAAACACATGACAAATGATTCAACTATGGACAAAATAAACTGATAAAAAGCAATAATTTATCAGAAAGACAGGAAGACAAATATTCAACAAGGAGATTTTTCCCTATTCAATTATTATAGGAGATTTACATCCAAAAACCTAAAAGCATGATGCGAAGGACCAAAAATTAGTTGGGATAAAACATGATGCCAAAATTGTATAGCCTTCAGATACTTCTAACTTTCCCACCCCCACCCCGAGTGTCCCAACCAAAAAAAAAAAGGAAAAAAAGAAACCAAAACCAAGAGGAACTAGATGTTCTCAACTCCTACAACCTCTGACCTAATTTACAAGAAACTTTAGTGTTTTATTTCTTACAAGTCTCCTGCAAGCCACCCACGAGCGTGCATGCACAGATTTTGAAGGGGACATTTGGGTACAAACTTCCTTAAAACTGAAAGGACCAAAAACTGAAAAGTGCAAAGGCAGAGGAAGGGGGAAAAGAAACTTCACCTAAGCCCCTTGGTTCCTTTCTCAACACTTTCTGTCTTCTACCTAAAGTTCATTACAACCTAAATAAGGCAATACATAAGGTCATGCTACTTATGTCACTGTTGAACTCCCTATGTCAAACTCAACTTCTGTGTAGCACATGAATCAAGGGAGTTGAAGTGAACCATGGCAGATTCTAGCTCAAATTGAGTTACCACTCTCCAATCTACATATTCCGTCAATTTAAGGTTAGTCTTAATGCGTGAGGGCCCGCCGCAGGGGGGGGGGGCGGGGTGGGTGGGTGGTGGGGTTTGTGTTGTTGTATATTGATTCAAGAAAGCACTAAATTCATACTCCCTCCTCCCCCAAAAGTAAGTGACCTGTTTTCCTCTTTGGGACGTCCCAAAATAAATGTCCGCTTTCCCTTTCATGGCGTTCCAAATTTGAACTTTCCCCATTGTCCTTCATTTTGAAAACTTTTCAACTCAATAAATTAAACATTTAAATGTTATTGGGTTAGTTTTGTAACTTTCAACGGACCTATATATATATATATATTGTAATTTTCAAGGGAGATAATGCTAGTCCCCTTAAAAGTTGGAGACACTAAGTGCAACAGTTATTATGGGATGGAGGAAGTGTTAATCAGGAAATCTTTTTTATTTATGGGATGAAGAAAATCAAAGGCTTGGTGGTGGTCCTGTAGACTAAACAACTCAACTCAATTCACCCAAACACTATCTAGACTATCTGCATCAGCTAGATAAATCATGTTTACACCATTTTACTACAGGATGCAAATTCAATCAAACCACATGCACAAGTAAGCATCGTCTTTTCCAACTATCACAACAGATTAGTATATCATATCACTCTCTCTATTGGCTTCTCTCCTTCTATCTCCAATCAGTGCTACTCTTACCATCTCACAAATGGATCATTGAAGTTTCATCCTTCTCGTTTTACCTCAGCATCTCATCTTTTGTATTTTGTCCACGCTCATTATAGGGATATTATTTTTTGACTACCTAAAGTTTTATCCCATAAAACAGACATTGTCTTATAGTTTTTTGAAATTTTCCTTTTAACTTCATGTGAACATTGATAAAACAATTCACCAAAAGCAAACCCATCTTGATTTAATTTCATGAGCAACATCATTTATATAATGTTTCATTCCATATAGTCACTTCTAGTCCTATTAATCTTAAATCCTCCTGATTTAATAAAAGATTTATCTCTACTTCAATCTCATCTATTAACATAATAATAATACTAACAAAATAACATAGAAGTTGTATAAAAGATCTCATATCTATGACAGTTGTCCTTAACATGGTCACAATCACATCATCACGTCCTTTAATTTTCTAATACTCGCCATAATTGATCCCTAGAAATCACATCATCATCAGTTTTCTCCTAAGTCTATAAAAATCATTAAAAAAAAATTCCTCTCTATATTGATAAAAACATAAAGACCAGAACAAGAGGCTCCGATGCAGATAGGGCTGTAAATGAACCAAACGTTCGACAAACTACTGGGGCTCAACTCGTGTTCGTTTGTTTACTAAATGAGCCAAACTCAAACGAAATTTTCAAGCTCGATTAATAAACGTGCCAAACACAAACAACCTCCTACTTGGCTCGTTTGAATATATAGAACGATAGAATATTATATAATATTATTTTAACAAGGCTTCATGGATCATTATATTATATTTGAACTCATAAAAAAGTCCAAATCCAACTGTCCAAGCCCAATCCAATCAGCCAAACTTAATGGTATTATTTCATCATTGGAGCCCAGTCCCAAGCCCATCCATTATCCAATATCCATATGTAATATGTTACTGTCCCAAACCCATCTCGTGAGCATATATATATATATATATATATATAACGGTAAGGGAACCCTTGTTACTTTTATCTGAAACTTCACACAAACATGCGGCACATAACATAGCCCACATAGCCCAGATACAAACCCTAGCCGCAAAACTAAAAGAAAAGTTGATACAACGATTCATCGCGATCGAGATGAAGGTCCTGACTGTGCTAATTAGAGATGAAGGTCCTGACCAGTGATTATGTTAAGCAAGCCGATCAGTTTGTTTCTTTCACATCTTTATATATATATATATATATATGGAAATGTTTTCTCTCATCTATATATTTCCGCAAATAATGGAGGAATACTTGTGAAGATTGCTAGAAAACCATTATTTCCGGTAAGACTGTATGCGTATATATATATATAAACACACACAAACATATTTTTTCAGATCTTATTTGATGTTCTGTCCAAAAAATATAAAAAAAAATTTAAACGAGCTTAAACGAGCCGAGCTCAACCTCATTCAACTACTGCCGAGCTGAGCTCGAGCATGGCTAGTGAAAGCTCGATCAATGTCAAGCCGAGCTCGAGCCGGCTTCTGAAGTTGTTGAGCTGAGCCCGAGCACTCCAAAGCTCGGCTCATTTACAGCCCTAGATGCAGACTTACGCAAAGTCCTTTAGAGCAAATTAAATCTTTTTGTTAATTTCAGATTATATGGTTGTATTATAGCAAAATAAATAAGCAAAATATCAAATCATGCAATATAAACAAAGCATGCAATCCACATAAAATAAGCAATAAAGCTGTAAATATGAACACCTGTTTTTTTAGGTGGAAAAACCCTCAACGAGAGTAAAAAACCACAACATAGCCCAGGCAAACCAAATCCACAACGAAGAAAGAAATTTACAAACCCAGGTTACAGTTCAGTACCCTTGAGCCCCTAATTACCTCTAGACACAGATGAACACCAAACATTCAGTCGCCCTAGAAAGTCTCGGGCCATTCTCTAGTGATCAGTCTCAGCCACTAGTCATCTAGTTGTCAACCTGGTTATGGATTGATTGGATGTGTTAAATAAACTTGAGTAAGCAGAAGGGGATGTATCAACACGTATGAACACTCACCAACACTAAAAATAATGATGAATGTAAAATTAAAATGCACAGAGAAATTTTTTCTCAAAAAATATGTATATATCATTTTTTTTATAAGTAAAATATATGCATATATCATGTAAAGAGAGCTTAAACTTGTGCATAAAAACTCATAAAATTCTCTGGTGTTTCTTTTGTATCTTACACAAAAGATATGTCATAGGCAGCTAAGAGATTTATTTCAAATAGGTATGCTAAAAGAGTTTTAGTCCTATTGAAACACTGCTTTTATACCCTGTGGATAGATTGACATTGATCTCAATCGATCGATGTTTGTCAGAAAGCTTCAATCGATACCTCGATGGATTGAACTTTCTACAGATTTTTCTATTAAAAACAATTTTCAATTTTAAAAACCATGCAGAATCAAGCATATTTGGAATCAAACTAAATTTAGAAATTTGAAATTAGAATGCCATGAATATGCAATGCATATACCTAGTTTTGGTGTGTGTGCATCACATTGTAAAATTACCCTTTTACCCCTGTTGATGAAGATTACAATTTTGACCTTTGTTGTAGTCATTCTTCAACTAGGAGGCATCTAAACTTAACTCAATTTTGAACATTTCTAACCAGCTCAAAACGTCTCTGAAATAAAATCCAGTTCAACAAGTCTGAAATGTTCAACTAGATGTTGCCAGGCTCGTATGACAAGGAAATATAATGTTTATCATACATGGTGATCTATAATTGGAGTTACTAGCCTTAAACAATGCAATATGCATTGAGCTACTCCAGTCATATAGCCACAAGGCTCCAAAGTCCCAACCACTCCTTTGTATGAAGAATGATGTCGTTGCAATTGTCCAACGTAAGATTAGGATCATTAAGTATCAGACTGGTGAATACCAATACCAGGCATAAAAATCAGAAAGAAAGTAGCAGTACAAGCTTTCAGATAAAATACAAATCCAAAGATCACCTTTCCCGGAAAAGGATTTGGGTTTCCATTACTCTTCTTCTTCTTACATGACAGTGGGTTTGGACCCTGCAAAGTATAAGACAAACAGGTCACCCGTGAAAATTGGCAAAGTCACCCCAAAGAGAACAAATATTTGCAAAAATTACAATACAATATTTTGCAACGAGTCAATGACTAAAGACAATAGCTATGAGAAAACATTGAACTAGATTTTGATTTAACGCCTAATCTATCCAGTATCCCAACAACATCCACCCTTTTCACTCTTCACATATTGGCCCTGAGATGTGAATATTAAACAGAACCTGAATCAATAGTGAGTGAATATGGACACTAACATTCATGTTGTACCCAACCATCATTTTTCTACTTTAAAGAACATGAATGACAACTTCATGATCAACTAGCACTTCCTTACGCACTCCTCTACACAGTGGGTGGTGGGCTTTATTAGGTACAATCATTTCATTAGGAACAACTATTATTGAGAATTTTTGTAATCATTAGGACAATTATTTCACAGAATTGGCCTTCTAATAGTGATGTTGTTAGGGTCATAACAGGTGGCGTTGGCAGAGAGAGCGTGTTTTGGAGAAATTAATAGAGATGGATAGTGTGGGAGAAGGAAAAGAAATAAAAAGAAAAAAATGGAGAAGATAGTGGTCAAGACAGTTACGGTTTCTGATGGCCATATACGTGAGTGCCAATGGACCTCCTCCACAACGAAGGGAAGTGTAGCCAGAAATGGAGCCAAAGTCAATGAGGAAGTTTATGGTGGGCTTTTATATGGTCAAGTTTTTTTAGAATATTTATATCATTTCATGTTTATAAGTATTTTATTAAGGACATATTTAAGATTACCAGCTTTGTTAGATTTTAGTAAGAGTAAAGTTCTTGTTTTGAAGAAGGATAGATGTTATCTTAGTATCAACAAGAATTGTTCATCAATCTCACGGCTTTTCATGTGGGTAATCTTTTAAACAAACCTTCAAATAAGGGAGGATCCATATTTTTGCAAACAAAAGTAGAGATCCCCCTAATATCATATGCCTTGGAGAAGGAGGTCAGATGAATTTAGTATTAAAAAAAAAACAGTAAACAAAAATCAAGGTTTAAATGAATGAATCAGGTTATCAGCCTATCAGCTTCTTCTTTTTTTTTCTTTTTTTTTTATTAGTAAGATTTCAATTAACCTATCAGCTAAATTAGGGCAAAAGAGAGAGGAGGGGGGGGGGGGGGGGGGGGCGGGGAAGTTGTGAGGGGTTTTTGCCTTTTTATGAATAGACATGAGAGGTTTTTACAATTTTACAAACAAGATATCTCCCTGGACAGTCAGATACAGAGACTAAAGGAATTTACCCAAAAGAAAACAAAGAAGCCAACAAAAACCAAGGTCTAAACTAATGAATCAACTGAAATTAGGGAAAGAAACACATGATCATGGATCAGAACCTTAGCTTTCTTTCTCTTAAACTGAACTTTGTCCTTCACAGCTATTGTCTTCCTCACGGTATTAGCCTTGACAACCTGGTTCCCTAAACTTTGATCTACCAGATCTTCATTTGCATCGAAGGAATCCCCTGCATCTGCGGTGGCTAGGCTCTTGTTTTTCTTCATTTTTAACATCTCATACTCCAACTCAGTCATGTGTGATCGTTCTTCTTCAGCACATTTGACAAACCGCTGTTGAAAAGCAGATGGAGGCTCAAGAAATAGGGCATTTCGTAAACCAAATATCACAGGAACACCTGGTACCTGCAGCCAGAAAATGATAAGCCTTTTCTTTTTCTATGTGTGTGTGTGTGCGTGACAGAGTAAAGTAGCAGCACAAATTTAGGAAGGTCAACAATCAGTATAACTTTCCTCTCCATGAGTAGCTAAAAATAAAGTACAAAGCATCCCAAAATATTCTCCATCAAAGTCACAAATTAGAACCAAGCTGAACATCTATAATGGAACAATTAACAAATCCTTCACCGACATCATAGACAATTCAGATTCCCAATTATATTTGCAGAAGTTCTTGGTCTATTTTGAGTAATTTGCCCAGTTAGTTACTTCATTGTCAAGTAGGTGACAGGTAATGACCAACTAAAAGGAGTCTATTTAAATTACAAACACGTCCCTAATAACGCCAACTAAAAATAACCAGCATTGCAATATTAGAAAAAGAGAGAGTTAATCCATTGGGAATACACTTGAAACTAGGGCTGCAAATGAACCGAGCTATTCATGGGCTCGGCTCGTTAAAAGCTCGGTTCGGGCTCGTTCGTGAAATAAGCGAGCCGAGCTTGAACACATTTTTTAGGCTCATTTAGTAAACGAGCCGAGCTTGAGCAACGCTAAGCTCGGCTCATGAACAGGCTCGTTTAGTAAAATGATTAGATTTTATTTTATTTTATTTTATATTCATATACAATTGTGTGGCCCATTTAATATAAAGCCAATCAAAATTCATTTCACCTTAAGCCCAATTTCATTTAACTTTAAGCCCAACTCTATTTCACCTGCCCAACTCTACTTAACCTATTACCTTACATATATATATATATATATATTTATCTTTACATCACGCAATGGATTTCTGACCAAATTCATTACAGCAGCCACAACAAAACTCACTCGCGGCATTGCTCCTCTTATCTTCAACACGTCGCTTCTTCCTCTCTAGCACTCCGGCAACTGTCTCCAACAAGTCTGTGCAATATCGTTCGTGAAGTAATCGAGCCGAGCTTGAACACATTTTTTAGGCTCGTTTAGTAAATGAGCCGAGCTTGAGCAATGCTAAGCTCGGCTCGTTATGCTCGTGAACAAGCTCGTTTAGTAAAATGATTAATTTTTATTTTATTTTATTCTATAGTCATATGCAATTGTGTGGCCCATTTAATATAAAGCCAATCAAAATTCATTTCACCATAATCCCAATTTCATTTAATTTTAAGCCCAACTTTATTAGCCCAATTTCATTTAACTTTAAGCCCAACTTTATTTCACCTGCCAAAATAAAAAATAAAAATAAATAAATAAAATAAGAAATAAATAAATAATAATAATAAATAAAATAAAAAAACTTATCAAAAAAAAAACTTTATATCACGCATTGGATTTCTGACCAAACCGCAACAAAACTCACTCGCAGCATCGCTCCTCTTATCTCCAACGCGTCGCTTCTTCCTCTCTAACACTCCGGTGACTGTCTCCAACAAGTCTCTGCAATATCTGTCTATGAAACCCTAAGCAAATCTTGCAACATCACTTCTCTAATCCCATCCCTTTCAACATCGATACAACATCGCTTCCTCTCTCTTACAGTGAGGGTTTTCAATAGATCTCTCTATCAAATCTCTCTTTGGGTCCCAATGTCTCAATCTCATTTTAGTGTTGGGGGGATCAGAAGAATGATCAGAGAATGCGAAAGAGACGCAGTGATGCTCTTCGATCCATTATCAGAACACTATTAGATTTGAAGCTTTTTGTTTTTCTCTTTTCTTTTCTTTTATTATTATTTTTTTTTTTCATTTTGGTTTGAAGGCGAGCCCAAGCCGAGCCCGAGCTTTGCCAAAATATTGGCAAGCCGAGCCCGAGCACCCTCCTGAAACTTGCGAGCCGAGTCCGAGCAAGATAAAGCTCAACTCAGCTCGGCTCGGCTCATTTGCAGCCCTACTTGAAACACAGCAATTAAGGCTAAGCAAGCAAGTACTATAAATGCAGCACAATATTCTGTGCCTAAAGGAGCCCTAGGTTAGCAATAATGTAATGCATCCTGATTTGAAGGTTAAGTAACAAAGTTAAACATTTAGAAAGCTAAACAAAAATCAGTTTAATCCTTCCCATTCCCATCCCCTCTGATCATTCATTTTTTGTTACAAATTAGTGTTATTGGGATATTCCATGAGTAAAAGTTGTCTGTCTATGGAGTATGTCAATTCATCAAAAGACTCGTATCAACATTGAAGTTGTGATTGTAGATTGAAAACTGAGTCGAGAGATCGTGTCAACCTTGAAAAGCAAGTGACATAAAAGACCATAGGATCTGGAGTGATTGATTTAACAATTAAGTTGATTAAAAAGGTTTCTAATTCACCACTCACGGTGGAAGAACATATAATGACTATGTATACCGGAACAAATGGTTATCTTCAGTCATTAGAAATTGGATAGGTAATAATTGGTTAAAATTGATCTAATATGAATTAGAAAAACTTTAATTAACTTGGATTAATTAAAACTAATTAAAATTAGTTTGAATATGGTTAAGAAGCCTAAAATTAAATATTATTCAATTGAGAATGGGTTTGGAAACTTTCTTTACATCAAAAAGCTTGGATTTTGATTTTTAACTTAAAAACCAAATTAAAATTTTATTTTGGTAAGGAGTTGAAGTTGTTAAAACTGACCTTTGTGTCTTTAAAAATATATATTAAAATAAAATACCTGAAATCTCGTAATAAACATTATATATTCAGGTAGACTCCATAAGTTTTCTATCGATATTAAAGTCCGTTTGACCCCTCAATGAAGAGCATAAAAGCTCGATTGATGAACTATCAAACAAACATTACTAAGGCTGCTTCGATCAATTGAAATATCAATCAAATACTGTTGTAGCTGTTTTGATTCATAGAAACTTGCTTTAGATCGACTAAAAGGACGCCTAGTGTTGGTAAAATATGTGGTTCCAAGTCCGAAATGGTTTCCAAACCTTTCAAAACTTACTCAAGACTTTCCTAATCAATTTCTAATCAGTCCACACTATAAAAAAAGTGCTCTAGGAGTCTCCAAACGTAAGAAAACAAAAGAAATACAACTACACAATTGTGGGAGAGATTGAGAGCCTTATTTTATAGAACATCCTATTATATTACGGGATTGAGTTCTAAAGCAAGGAACTTCATTGGAAAGATTGATCAACCACAACATATATGCATCAAACAAAGGGTTGGGCATGACTGTTCATTAGGAATCAATATACAGATTGAATAGCAAATCACATGAAGAATGGATTCATTGACTGGCAGCAACAAGAACCCAGGTTGAGCATCTAGTGTGAGTGTAGATCCGAAATGACAAAGCGATTCTTGGGTCAGAGTTTGGTTAACCAAATTCTACAGTTAGTGGATTTAATTTGCCCAAACTAGGTCTCATGAGTCTCCCATTGGACCCATTCCACGTAAAAATTGGTGTTAATGTGTGGATGATATTATGCTTTATATTTCCACACTCATCTTTACATGCTTGTCTGTAATACTACATTATCATGAAAGGTAAAAGTGGGAGCAATTATAGACCCTTCAAGATCAAGATTAAGAGAAAGAAAGTAACTTTGTACACTTCGAGCCAGTTAAAACTCACTATTTAGTTATCAAAAGCTATTCACCCCCTCTAGGTCTAATTGGACATAGCGTACTCTATTGAAGACTTTGTTGCTCTTAACTCTTGGACTCAAGAATTCCTATGTGACGTAAGTGCAATAAACCTTTTTTATTATCCATTTGCCCCATGGTTTTGGGAACCAAAGATTGGTTGTATCTACCTAAAATTCCAATGTCACTATGTGTAATAACAATAATTGACAGCTATGCAAAGAAAAAATGCAAACCTCCTGCAACTTCTTCCGTAAATCAGCATCCTGAGTGGCAACAAAGAAGTGCTCAGGGTTGTTTTCTCCAATAACTTCCATTATGCAAGCCACAGCACTCTTCCTCCTCTCATGGTCACATCTGAGAACAAGTTTCATAGTTTACAAGACTAGATAGAACCATGAACAGAAAAGACCAAATAATTGTAAGAGTAGGTTTATTCACCCATACAGATTTTTGTGTTGTGTTCTGCTTAACAAAATGGAGGAAGGAAAAGGGCTGACCTTGCAGTCATGAGTTTCCGAGCTGCCTTAAGAGATTCAGAATAGGAGTCACCAAGGCTATTCAATTCTGCAAGAACACATCTAAACCCCAAAAAATAAATAAATAAAAAGAAAGAAAGAAAAAGGCAAATAAAGCTTACACCAAGAGGAAGGGGGATGATTTTCTCACAAACTAGGATGGAGCAAATTCGGTAATTTAACATTCACAGAAATATAACAAAGGAAAACTGGCTAACCTGGTGGTAAAGATTTTGACTTCAGCACCGAGTGTATTTGAGAGGGCTGTATCAGCTGGAGTAATACGATTGACAAGAAGGTGATGTACAAAAGTTCCATCGCATAGAACCTTGAAGGGCTCTCGAAAGCCAAAGCAAGCTGTATAAAACCTGACACTCTTGCGATGGCGCTTCTGCTTTTTCAACCTCATCTAAAAAAATATATAGGGAAAAAGAACAAACCAATAATTTATGCACACGTAAATATAATAATCATAACAATTTTGCAATGCACGCACCAAAAATAAAAAAGGTAAAACAAATGCAGAACCTTTTATATACAAAAAATATAATTTTATATCAAAAACACAAACAGCCATGTATATGTATATGTATAAATCTATACATGTTTGTGGTCATTTTCCTAAGCTCAGAAGATAAGCATAAATAAAAAATCAAAAACATATATACGCATATATAAAAATCTTTACCCAAGTTAAAATTATTGAAACCTAGTTCAAATTCGAGATTGTAAAGAAAATAAACAGTAGAAGATAGAAGCTCTAACCCTAAACCGAATAGGAAAACTATAGAAGAAGGAAAACGCTAATCAAATCATTTGAAAGACCAACAAAATGCACGCTCGGGCTGCCTTCTTGCTTGTCGCGGAGCTCGCAACTATTTTTGAGGATTTTATTTATAATTATGCATATTCTTAGTACATACTGTGTAGTGACACTCATCAAGTCTACAATTCAGCTAAACTATATAAGAGACTTAACCATTCAATACACAAATTATTGCATAAAATTTGAGATTGCACTGTGAAAAAATAATTTTTTTGTTGTGTAATACCCTAATCATGGAATTTGAAAGACCAAAAAAATGTATGCTCAAGCTGCCTTCTTGCCTGTCGCAGAGCTCGCTACTATTTTTGAGGATTTTATATATAATTATGCATATTCTTAGTACATATTGTGTAGTGACACTCATCATGTCTACAATTCATTATCCAGCTACACTATATAAGAGACTTAACCATTCAATACACAAATTATTGTATATATCAATCTATGGATTATAGTAACCATAAAATATTTTCTCTTCTTCAATTACAGTTTTTCCTCTAGTTAAGACACGAATTTAATAGTGAGAAAAAAAAGTCTTGCAATCCGAAGCTCTTTTCCAAAAATAATTGGTATATCAAGTCCAGATTTGAGAGTGAGAGAAGAAAATAATAGATTATAGAGAGAGACTAACATATCTGAGAAGAGAGAGCGAGAGAACGCTTACCCGAGTTGTTGTCGGTCGTCGTCGCCGAAATTCGCCGGTCGTTACAGGTGAGAGGGATGAGGATTAGAGAGACGAGACTTTTAGGGGTTTTGGTTCGGCTGAGAGAGAGGGAAAGAGAATGTAAAATATTTTTTTACCTACTTTGATGTTGGATGTATAAAATACAGTATTTACGGGGGAAAAAAAATTTAATAAAATTTAATAAAAATAATTTATTTATTAAATTTAGGTAAATTATTTTACGCTAATCTAAATTTTTGTCAAATCTCAAAAACAGAAAAAATAAATAAATATTATTTTACATTTGTTTCCAAACCTACAAAAATTTGTAATGAAATTTTGGGTAATAGCTAAAGTGGGGCACCTAGGTTTGGAATTTAAGAACAGGTGTGAAAGTCAGTGTAAGTCTTATAACAGAATTTCTTGGGTGGGTTTGGATAAAGGGAGAAAAAAGGGAAAAACGGAAAAAATTTAAAATTATAAGAATTTGGATTGGATGAAAAAAATAAAAAATATGATAGAATTTCTACAAGTTGTTGAATTTTCCAATATGTAAATATATATAAATTAAACAAAACACATAAAAAAATTCGATGTCATCAAACTTGTGTCATATTATAACATGTTTTTCTTGTCTTTCTCTCTCATATGTACCTGAAGGTGGTGATTTTTTTTTTTTTTTTTTGCCATTCTTTAAATTTTATTTTTTTTTTATTTTTTTTTTTGGTCGAATTTTCTTTAAATTCTTTGGCCGTGCTTTGATGTACTTTCTTTTACTACTCGTGTGAGATTAATTCGATCATATTTATACAAAGTAAAATTGAGTAATACGGAAGTAGATTGTAATTTACACGTCTATCCCTTGTTTAGGTCAATTGACTCCTAGTTAAGAAACTCGGAGGTCTAAGAATATGTTTGGATTGACTTTTCGAACGCTGCTTTTGACTTATGGAACTCAAAAGCTATTAAAAATGGTGTCTGGCTAATTTTTCAAATAAAGCTTTTGGGTTTTAGAAGAGCGTTTTAGTGAGTGTTTGGGATTGCTTCTTTATTACTGAAAAACACTTCCATTTTTTAAAATTGCAGTGCAATGTGTTTGGTGAAAAAAAAAAAAAAAAAAACTCTTATAAAAGGTAGTGGTTAGGTCTAAAAAACGCGTTTAAGTGAAGTTAGAAATCGTAACTTTCAAAATTGCGTTACGAGTAGAGGTTCATTAGGTAACTAATTTTCTTTTAGACAATTTAATCCATTTAGATTTTTTTATAAATACAATTTTATACCTTCTACAAACAAATAGCAAACAATATCTGGGATTCTGTGACAAATGAAGATACTAGTTTATTTTAGGACTCTGAATTATATAATTGTTAGATGTTTAATTTTTAATAAATTGTGACTAGTAATTTGTTTTTAAAATAACTATAATACATTTATACTATTATCTTAAATAACAACTAATTGTGTTATAGTGTTTAGTTTTATTTTATGAAATGCTCTCTATATTGCAAAATATTATATTATTAAATTTCATTATTGGATAGCATATAAGCAAATTTGCTTATTTTATTACTGAAAAATCTCAAATCAAATCGGATACAAATCAATCATCATTAAAAAATGTTTAACTCATTTATTTTTTAGTACTTAATACAAATTCGATATCATAACCAAAATATATGATATTTGGAAAAAAAAATATTTGATCTTTATAAATTATTGAACTCGATGAAATTTTATAATATTTAATATTAGGGAATTAGTATATGTTTAATGTAAGGAGAATATAGTAAAATTAGTAATAAAAGTGCTTTAAACAATATTATTACCAAACAAATTTAAAAGTGCTTCAAGTATAAAATGTATTTTATACAACGTCTTAATTGCGTTTTAGTGACAACTCTTTTATAACAGCTCTACAATTAAAAGCGTTTTTAACATTTTAACGGCAATTTCAAATGAGTTCTTAGTGAAGCTGGTATCGTTTAGCTTTTCCAAAACACTCTTCTTGAAGACACAGGAAGCTTATGAATACTTTTAAATGATAACCGTACCCCTTTGGAAGCCAAAACAAGAATATAACTGAAGTTTCTGAAAGATGAAATAAAAAAATATAAATGTTATGTTTGGAAGTACCGAATTGATAGTTTGGATTTTAAATTAGAAGAAATTTAATAAAAATTTGAATTTGGAAGAAATTTAGTTCAAATTTTGAACTAAGTTTCCTTCCATCCCAAATTCAAAGAAGCAATTCGATGCTGCCAAAAGCAAAAATAAAAAATAAAAAATAAAAAAATTAGATCACCTTAAACGTAGGTCTCAAAATTTCATAATGAACTTCAAATAATTTGTGCAAGTTGGGACTTATTTGTAGAAGCTGAGTTTTGAGTAGGCCTATAAATGAACCAAATGTCCGATGAACAATTTGATTTTGGCTCGTTAAGAATTCGGTTCGTGTTTGTTTGATTAATAAAGCAAATAAGCTTAAACAAAAATTTTAGACTCCTTTATTTGTGAGTGCGTTTGTGAACCGGCTCAGCTCATTTTGCGCTTGAAATATACATCTATAATTTTATTTAGTCCATATAATATTTAATTAATCCACATGAATAAAGGTCAAGTCCAATACAGCCCAGCCCAATAGTCACTACAATCAATCCAGTACAGCCCATCTGCATGAAAACCCACACACCCTATTGAAAATAAAACTATAACCCAAACGGGCCAAACCCATTTCTTATTTTCCCAAGCCCATTCCTACCTTCATCCATCTAAACCCTAACCACGTCCTCCCTTTATATATCTAAACCCTAACTTCGTCTGCCTCCTCTTGCATTATCGACGACCCTGTGTCTCGCTCTCTTTGTCTAGGGTTTGCGATTCTGTCAAACTTCTCTACCGAAAATGGTATGTCAATTAGCTTACATCATATATATATATGTGTGTGTAGAAAATTGTTTTAATCTGAATCACAATTTCAATTTGCTTTGTTTGGGAATTTTTTTTTGGTTGTTCTTTTTCTCATAGCGATTTGTGTATCTAAACTCCTAGGTTCTTCCAAACGATGTTGATTTGCTCAATCCGCCTGCCGACCTCGAGAAGAAGAAGCACAAGCTCAAGCGTCTCGTGCAGTCGCCCAACTCCTTCTTCATGGTATGTATATTCATATGTATCTCTCTCTATATATCTATAATACACTTGTGTATTTATCTGTAGTTCTGTAAATTTCGTCTTTCATTCCTGATTATGCACGTGTAAACATTTGTTGGTAATAATGTTATTTTTATTTTTTTGTTTTTTTTTGTAGGATGTGAAATGCCAAGGTTGCTTCAACATGTAAGTTGTTGGTTTAGATTTTGCTATTATGGTCCTTGTATGATTACTTCGATTAAGTATATACTGTATGTTAATTTATTTATTTATTTATTTTGGCAAGTATAATGTATATTAATTTAATTACTGGTGTTGTTAACTGCATTGGGTCACAAAAATCTTGATCTGTGTGTAAATATATTTATATGTATATGTATGATTGCAGAACTACTGTGTTCAGTCACTCCCAAACAGTTGTGAAGTGTGGGAATTGCCAGACAGTGCTGTGCCAACCAACCGGTGGGCGTGCGAGACTTACGGAGGGATGTTCTTTTAGGAGAAAGGGGGATTGATGATGGTATTTATACACAATATGCTGGTAGATGCTGGGTGGGGTTTCCAGTTTTAGTTTGGTTTCAATTCAAGAAACGAGGCAGGTTGTTTTTTCGGATTTATCTTATGTTTTCGCTGTGTCATTTTGTTCGTTAGGACCAAGTTTTGGATCTATGACTATATCTTGAGCTTTTATCTTGTTATGGATCTATATGACTATGTCTGGAGATTTTATATTGCTATTGTTTGGTGCAATGAAATTAAGTCGTTTCAATTACATATTGTTGTGGTTACTTTTGGGTGTTTGTGCATTAGCCTTATTAGATGCTCATGCGGTAACTTAAGTTGGTTAGTGATTAAACACAATTTGATTTAGATTTTGTTGAAGGCTCACATAGTCATGTGATTCATATAGATAACAAAACTAAAATAAAATTTGGGAGACTTCACTATGCATGGTTGTGAAAGTCTCTATCTAAATCTTGCCATCTTAAAACCTATCAGGGCTGAATCTGACCAGATCTCCGTGAAATATTTGACAATGGAATGGTTGTGAAATTTTATGGATTTTACTTGTCCTACTTTACAGCCTTATGCTATTATTCTTTTGTATATCTTAATCTTGATAAGTTACCTCTTCAATGGAAGAAGATTTGATGAGTTAATGTCAAAATGATACCTTCTAGTCAGTTCAGATTTGTAACTTCTCTTCTTGACTAGTATTGACTTGATTTTGTTTTCTATTCGTTTTCTAGTAATTTTTCTTTGTGGTTGGTCATCTCCTCACTAAAAACCTTGGTTTCACATTTGTATATCTATTCTGTTCTGATGTGAAAATATCTTTTATAGTCGCTAGTAAAAGTCATTTAAAATGTTAATATAATAATTTCTTGAAATACCTTTGTGAAATGTATGATCATTGATAAGTGGTGGACGTTTCATGAATTTTTTTAGATGTGTTGTCATAGTTATGTAAATTTAGGAGAAATTATTCATTCCCTAAGGGTACCATGTCGTCCTGCCTATGTGATATCCCATGCTATTAAAATGTTCGTATCAACTGCAAAGATAACTGACGGAGTCATTAACTCCGTTTGACGTTTCAAATTTCAAAATAAAAAATTCAAAGTTAGATTAAGAGCTGCCCCAAATTCCAAATTCTAATCCTACTAGAGTTCCCCCCATCACTGGAACACCACCATAGTTCTTCCTGAGAACCAAGCTGAATCATGTTCTCTCTCTCCCTATGAATTATGTCACTCTCTCTTGAACCCCCTTTTTTTTTTGCTCAGTCAATTTTAAGAAAAGATATGCATCTTTGTAGTGGTGTACACGACTATATTTCTATTTGGTTGAATATGTATTAAAGTAACTCCTACAATGTTGAAGTTGGTGATATCTGAAATTTTGAAGTTGGTTTGCAAGGCTTGCGAGACTCGTAAATCTAATTATTCGTTTCACATTTTTTTCTCGTCATGATTTTTGATCTATGGAAAGAAACCCACTCACTCATTAGACAAACGTTTTCCCTATGACATACACACATGCAATAGTAAAGACAAAGGATATATAAAAACAACTGTAACGCAACATTGCATAAGATAGGAATTGGGGGATTTCGATCTCGAGCCGTCGATTGGCCAAGTTTGAAGTCGCTCATCTACTTCTCCTGCACTTCCTTATAACTGTTTTATCTGTATTATAATTATTATTTTATTGTTCCTGAATCTTGTTTGCAACATTTTCAGTCAATCGCTTTTGTGAGGCGTTGCGTTCATCGGTCACCGATGGACGTGTCAATGAGAGCGTAAATTCTTGTCAATGCTGACCTTTACTTTCATAGCAGATACGAGCCTACAACTTGTGTATGTCATCGTAGTCTGTTTTCCGATGAACGTGTCAATGAGAGCGTAAATTCTTGTCAATGCTGACCTTTACTTTCATAGCAGATACGAGCCTACAACTTGTGTATGTCATCGTAGTCTGTTTTGTGGTCGGGTTGTGAAATATTCTCTGTTTACCTTCTTTTTCTTTTTCTTTTTTCTTTTTTTTAACACATGCACATTTTGAATTGAATTGGATTTGAAACTTAGGATTACATGTAAACAAATAACTGAGATGTTATCATACCTTCTCGATTAAATCAGATGTTTGCTTTCCATTATGTTGCATTTCGCTTCCTTGTTTCTTTCTTGTGTCTATAAATAGTCTTTAACAGAGAGTGAATGTGCAAAGACTAAAAGTTGGGCACCATTTTCCTCTTAGTTTATAAAATGACTGTAAGTTGTGTTGTCTTCTGTTGTCTTCAATATCCTCGTACACATTAGATGGATAGCATGTTGATTCAAAATCGTCTTCCATTTCACAATTTAGCTTATGGTCCTACAAGGTCTCCAGTTTTTGAATGGTCTCAAATTTGGGGGGCATTTTTGGTATTGATTGATGAACAAAGAGGAAAGTGTTATGTAAAAAAACATACTAAATATTACTACTATTTGTTATTGCTTGACCTTCCTAGTAATTTTGCCTAGGGTGCTTTATTCTTCATCTTCTCTAAAAATGATTCAAACAACCAAACAAGTACGAATTAACTCTTCTTTTTTTTTGCTCTTAGATGCTGCTATCTTTCATGAATAAGAAAGTCACAGTTGTGCTTACCGTTGATATGATTTATTGTCTAAATTTTATCTGCATTTGTAAATTTAATTAAATCTTTACAACTCGCTTGTTGAATTGAGTTTTAATATTTTTACTGGTGATGAAAAGTTCACCATTTAAAGTGTCGGAAAAATTTAAGTAAATGTGGTGGTTGAGAGAACATCTAAGACGAGTGATGGATTGTCTTTGACAAGGTCATGTGTTGGTGACAAAGAAAAGAGTAGTTCATAATTGAGTAGCTGTAACAAGTAGAGTTAATCAGAAGAACTAAGAATTGGAAAACATGGTAAAGCAAAGTTTTATGTATCATGTATTGACGTATTTTGTGTTACTCTTCCGCATCATGTTACAAATTTATATTTTATTCGGTCTGTAAGGTTATTCCACCAGTAGCTTGGGGGGCTTATTGTTTCTAGTATGTCAATAAAGCTCCTTATTAAATTCAATCACACTAGATCAATGTACTTGGTTTCTCAAGTACCCTAATTATATGAGAATCACTTTGAAACTTGCTGTAAATGAAGAGTGCAACTGCAGCAGCAACATAAACCTGTTTAAGCTCCGATCGGTTCTTTGATTGCTCATTGAGCACTTTCTTGTTAAGTTTTGAACAATCTAAAACGTGTTTCAACAAATCCACCTAGTAGCTTTCACAAGAATTTGACTTAATTTGACAGTGCTGATCGCTTTTTATAACTAAACACCTTAAAAAGGAGAGAGATGATAAAAGTGCCAAACCAATTTATTTTATTTATTTATTTATCTTTAATGTATGACTGATTTGGCAAATGATTGAACTAAACACTTTTTGTAGATTACTGTGTAAGAGTCCATATTGGGCACCAGTTATTAGAGTCTTCAAAAAACTTATTCAGGGCTTTTGTCCACTTATTTGACAACACAATATCAAGTGCAAGAGTAGTGAACTCTCCATCTGTGAAATTAATGCATTTAGCGAGTCTTTCAATTCGGTGACCAAACATGGAGGGCTAATGGCTCATGTCATGAGACTCGATATCAATCCTCAATTTTTAAATTGAATATACTTCGAATGCTATTTGTTTAAACTAATATTAAAAGATGGATTAGTGCAGCAAGTAGGGCCAAGAATCAAGATTAGATAACCAGTGTCATATCATATTGTCATTTCTAGACTACTATTTTTAAGCAAAACATACCATAATCGTCAACCCTCAAAAACCCTAATTCTCTTTGCAAAACCCTCTTCTGTCATAGTATTATGCATTAATTATTTAATTCAAGGCAAAATATTTCTCACTTTTACATAATACAAACATAAAATGACACGGTTCAAAATTCAATAAGCATGTTTTGCCCCTTATTTACAATTGTCTGAGTTGCTGTAGAACGATTGATTGAAAATATTTGACCTGGAATTTGTTAAGACAACAACATACAAATTTGTCTAAATGGTTAGATCTCAATCTCTCCAAGAGAAGCTTCAACATACTGAATCAAGACAGGCGGTTGATGCACTCCATCAAGGCATCCGTCTGTTCAGGCTTACCCACGGACACACGAACATAACCCTTCAATTCTTTCTTATTGTAGTGACGGATCATCACACCCATTTTCGCAAGGTCTTCCTGTAAAATATATGTATCATCGTTATAAATGTTCAAAAGTAAGAGAGGGCAATAGTGAAAATGGAAATTAACCACACTTTTTCAGCTGGGAAACAATTTTTGAAGAAAATGTCCTAGGTCTGAATAAGCTTCACATTTCCAGCAAAAGTATAGGAATTTTGGTTTTTTCAGTCGGATAAATATTAGTACACAACTTTTTATTTTCAATTTCAGCTTATTATGGAAAAGAAAGAAAGAAGTTATTGAATTTCTTACATCCAAAATTTCCTTCATTTTAAACAAGTTCCCGGATATTGACACAGTTAATAGATATTTCAGTCACATAGCAAGCTTAAAATTCAATCGAGAAAAACCATACATAATTATCAGAAATTTAAAAACATAATGATGATCAACCAGGTGAAGAAGCCAAACAATTCATCCAATTAACATGTTTCTACAACAGCAGCTGCACAATATGAACAAGGGTGAACATAGGCAACATTCATGGCATTTAAATGGGATTGAAAATCATTGCCTAAAATCCGTTAGTACTCTCATAACATATTGAGTTGCAGTAGTCAGATTTCAGATTTGAATTTTCTTAAGTATTTGTGCAGGTCTAACAAAAGAGAAGACTCGAGAAAGTTCTCAACATAAAATCAAGCTGAAATTAGATGCATGCTCAACAGAAATCAAGAGACTTGCCCCCCTTGGGGGAGCTAAGGGATATCTGTCCCCTGATCTCTCGAGGAAAATGAGGCAGCTTATCCTGCTAAACCGCTTACTGCTCGGGAGCAGGAGGCCGCTTCCTGATCTAATTCTCAGGCGGCAGGCCCATCTGTAATGGCATTACACCAACTACCACTTTTGGTTCTGGACCCCAACCCAGAAATTATTGCAAACCAGATTTGGCATTTTCAAGTTGTCTAGTATTGGCAAACTTGAAATGCAGTACATTAATTGAATACCACATCCCTCTCCAGAATCATGATGTCTGAAACCTTTTTACTAATAGTGTAACATTGAGAGAGAGAGAGAGCTAGTATTCGTATTTTGGTCCCTTCACTTAAAGAAAGACCATATAAACTTATTTCACATATCATCTCATTGGAGCATTCCATACCATTATTAGCCCATATGCAACCTATTTAGCAATCTCAACAGAAAGGACTAATCACAGCCCTCACATCTTCTCACCGATTTAAACTATCAGAACTTCAGAAAATCATAAAAAACCAACTAAAAAGCCTGCTTGGTTTGTAACTTTGGAACAAAAAACGGAAAACTGTACAAAAATTCTGCTTGGTTCAGTTTTCTGAAAACTCTTATAAAAATGCATGTTTTCAGAGAACTATAAAAGACAGTTATCTGTTTTCTGAGTTCTTGAGAACTGTTTTAAGAGTTACAAACCAAGCGGGGCAACCAAGGTTTGTAACAGCAGTAAATTATGCAAGCCTTTGCCACTCAAAGAAAAAGAAATAACTCAATAAAAGATAAAGTATGGGTGTGGAACTAAGAATTTTCTACAAATTTAAAGCTCTTTGTTCCAAGAAAAGATTTTGTACCTTCAGTTTTTTTGCATCCATTCCAGATGTAACCTCACAAAGAATGAAATTAGAATAGCTTGGATACGGGTTCAAAAATGGCACTTCTTTTAAGAGTTTATACAGCCTCTCACGTTCTTGCACCAAAGCCACTTTAACATTCTGGTAAAGATTGCTGATTTGTATTAGAAGGGGTGTTCAAGCACTTATATAGGAATATATGAATCAGTGAAATATACTAGCACTGTATAAAGCCAAAACCTTTTAATCTTTAAGTACCTCCAAATAGGTTGGATTCGTTAATGCTGCACATGCAGATACTTCAGCAGCAACAGAAACGTTATATGGTTGCTTTGCTCTCCAAAGGTACTCAATGATGCTAGAAGGAAATGCTCCATATCCGACACGAAGTCCAGCTAATCCTGTTGCAGTGTTTATTTGCAATGCTATAATCTAATAATCTCACAGTATAAAGAAATTAATGTGGTAGAAAATCAATATGTGAAATGAAGCATTTATTATATGTCCATCATCAGGGACGGAGCCAGGAATTGGGCTCAGGAGGGGCACAATCCTTGGCTTGTATATCAGGGGGGCAGCTGCCCCCTGTGGTCATTAGCTGCCTCCGTCCCTGTCCATCATCTTCAACAAACTTCTCTAAGTATCCATGTTGATGAACCACCGAGACATCAATCACATAGAACCATGGACCCACTCACTTACTACGTGCTAGTGTATGTGAAACGTAAAAATTCACTTGAATCAAACAACAAAACATGTATGTGATAGAAGATTTCTTTATTCTTTTTCTTGTTTTTTTCCCCTTTCTTCTGTGTCTACCAGTCTCGAAACCTTGATATAGGGCTTGAGAATTAAGACCGAAAAAAGGAAGATCTAACTGATAGAACAAGCACAATCACAATTCAAATCACAACCTATGACACCGGGTAGTTACGCTTTTTCTCCCGCCTCAGCTTCGCAGATGGGAGGAGGGCGATAGCTGAGCCTGCAAAATTCTCACTTGGTCTCACCCGTTTTGTTCCAAAGCCACTAGGACAAAGGTAGACCATTTGATAGAAGAATTTTGTGTATATGCAAAAAGTGAGCTCTCAAAAGAATATTGTAAATCTGTTCTCTACATATGTCTCTCTGTGTATCTCATGAATGATGCAAGAAAAGCAGTATTTATTAGTAAAAGATGTTCAAGATATCCATAAAAAGCTTGTATTTCAATTAGAAAACTCAAGCTTTAATCAACAGTATAAGCCAATAAAAATAAAGAAGAATCTTTAATTGAATTCAATTCATTTTCAGAAACTGCGACGAGTTGAACCAGTTGAACTTCTCCTATGTTACTTTGTGTCAGTTGACAAGTGTCTAGAATAAGTTGGACCACTTGAAATCAGGTAAAACCCCTACAGTTGTTCAGAAACAGTTTCTTAAATTTTCAACTCTATAAACTAGTATAACATATTTAATTTGCATTTTAATACATATCATAGTTTGAAGTCGTGGATGAGACAGATGACACGAACGAGGTGTAACAGACGTGGGGCTGTATTGGGTGTAACATAACGGAATAGATTGTCGCGGTCGTGAATTTGTTTGGACCTCGCACAAAGCACCCAAAACGCACAGATATGAAACTCTTTACAAAATAATCTAATATGGGTTTTTAAGAAATTTTAATCATTTTTGTTTAACTTTTCAAGATCAATCAACACAAGTAATGGCACTCTAAATAAATTTCTAAGTCGTCATTAAAGGCTTAGTAATTTATACTTTTTACTAAATTAATCAGTAAAAATAGACTTATAAATACTCGATTGTACCGTACCTCCATGCTCAACTGTATAGCCAAATCAATGACAAAGGATTTCAAATGATACCTGAACTAGATCATCATCAAAAGGAGTAATGTGGAGGATCTTGTTTAGACATTAGAAGCCCTGGAGCACTGGAGCAAATATTTGCTCATAAAGCTGCAATGCATCATCCCTCCATAGTGGATCAGAGTCTTATGTGGCGGATGTTGCTGATGGGCCTGAGAGAAGGAAAACTCTGAGGATAATGACAGCGCAACCATACTGTTGGGGAGAATATCCTGAGAGCTACTAATGTATCGGAGTCTAAGGAGGCACAGTAGGGTATCCATAGCCACAAGACCATAACCATATGAGGTTGAGTAGCTGGTGGTTGATGTCCAAGTCTAAAATCCCCAAAGCTACGTGTTGACTGGTCATCAGGACAATCATGCTACCTCTGTTTTCTCCAAGAATATGTAGCGACTACAAAGTAATCACCTATATATAACACGCTCAGGCTGCCCAGCAGAAGGCACATCACCCACCACCATAACCATATCCTCCTCCTCCTCCTCTAGCACCAGCATCATCACCACCACTAACATCATCACCAGTATCGCCATCATTATCACTATAACTCACTCACTGGAGGAAGTACAGTTATCACCATAACGGGCACGAGAAGAAGAGGGACCTCCTACATTTGCCCTACCCACATCCCCTATCCAATGAGAGAGATTTTCACTGTTGAGCAGTGAATCTTCCCTCTCCTTTAACCATGGAAGTTGTCCTCCTCAAAGATGTGGCCTTCAAATCATTCATTAACCACCAAAGAAAGTGGTTCATTATCTCTTCAAGGTTGACGGGATTATATCTTCTTTCAATCTCCTCTTGACAGGTGCAGGACATACCTGTTATCTTTAGCATGAAGGTAGATCAATTTCTGAAAAAAATCACAGCCGCAACAACCGACTCCTTTACGCTGCTATCAATATGGCACTGCATTCATTACACTAGGTTCGTATGCGCATCGATGGCCATGTCCGCTCTCTCAAACTATGGTTCAAGGCACCAAAACAGCTCCCAAATAGTCTCACAAACTTGGTTCTGCCATCTCCTTTCATACTTAAACCTATGCTTTCGACATTAAACCTTATCCTTTAGAAAAAGGTTTATAATGCTAAAATCTGAAGATCAAACATCAATTAATACCCTGACTAGACCAAAATAGGACCTGTGGTTCACTAATACACCACATCCAGCAATTTTATGTGGACAAGCCACGAAAAAATTGAGAAAAAAAGGCTTTGTTGTGTGAATTTTCTTCTCTTTTAATTTGTGCATTCTTATTAGCCAGCAATCAAACCATGATAACCGCTCTTTTCAATCTTCGAAAGATCTACTTCAGTCAGCCAAATCCTTTCACCAAGATCCAATCCTAGCAATACAAAAAATCTATTCACTGCTCACGGCAAAATAAAAGCCTCCAAACGGCCTTACAAAATTAGTTATTCCATCCCAAAACTCCCTCCTATTGGTTCCTAGTCAAATTATGCCTTCTACTTCAAACCTGTTACTTCATGACAATTTTTGTAATGGTAAAATCAAAAGATCCAAAATAAGTTTAGACCAGAACTTGACCAACACAGGACCCATTGTTGGCTAATACCTCATATCCAGAAAATTTGGAAATTACCAGCATAATCTTAACCCCCAAAATTTAACAAAACATGAACAAAACTGATTCAAAAGCAAACTAAAATATAGAAAGCATATAATAGAACTACAATCAAACTGAACTTCCTATTAAAGGTTCCTAAGTGTACCCCACATTGAAATTGAACCAATTTCAAATACTTCTCGTTTTCCTCCTCTTCTTACTGAATAATTCTCCTCTTCCTTGTTCTTTTTCTTCTTCCTTCTTTATACCCAAGATAAAAACTTATAAAATCAACTTAATGGATGAAGATGAAGTGATGAACAGACCAAATTATAACAAGGTACAAACACTTGCCAATTAGGAATTCAACAATGAATCAGATAAATTAATTTTACACGCAGATGTATATGTTTCCGCAGACTCTTGGCTCAGTAAAATAAGCAGGAATTATTAACATACCAGCTCGTTTGCTAAATGTCCGAAGGACAATTAGGTTTTCATGCTGCTTCACCCATCCCATCTTAGATTCAATTCCTGAAAATTCAATGTATGCTTCATCCAACACAACCAATATAGGCAGATCAAGGATCTTCAAGAGATCTTCATCATTTATTATACTGTCAAAAAAGAAGATTCAATAGAATACATTAGAACCTACAAGGAAAGTGTTCCATAGAAGAGAGAGCCTGCAAACACAGTTGTTAAACATAACCTGTAAAAGTTGGTTGCATAATACAAGCAGAAAATTTATATATCATGGTATGATCTCTTCATTACATCATTCATAATGGGTCCACATAGCAAAAAGTTAATTGGCCAACGAACAAGTGGTGTGGCACTTGCCACATCATCAATAAACCTCAAATAGAAGACTGAAGACTTGAGTTGGGAGGAAGATTCCAAAATACTTGGGATCCAATGAGGTACTTGGTTTGGTGGCTAAAGTCTAGGCCCCCTCAACAAGGTGGACTACTCTCTTATAGTGGTTCAGCTGACCCATATTTTCTGACCTTGTCCTCTAGACCTTCACCAAGGGAGTCAATGGTGAAATTACACACTGTCATCCCACCTCTCTCTCTCAAGTTTGCCTGGTCTTCCACCTCACTCAATTCACTTTGGATCTCTACTATGTTGCTAGTAATGCCTCATGTTACATAAATATGAAGAACCTACATCTACACCTAGCATATACAAGTTTGTTACTGCACACATCATTTCAAGAAGTGCAATCTGTGTGGCAAGTCCTTTCCCTTTTCATATCACCACACTACATATCTTATATTTGTGTCAAATAAAAAACCCACGTGCCTTTCCTTCTTGCATGACTTTTGAAATTTATTTATTTATTACTAACAGCAAAAGGAAAAAGAAAAAAACATGTGATTCACATGAATAACTACTTTAAATGCAAGTCCGATCTCAATAAATAGCATGCCACCCGTCAAACATATGTCCCAAGCCAAAAATTCTTGGATAGGAAAATGAGGTATATATGAAAAACAAACCAAAATTGTTTTTCACAAGACCTGCTATAAGTCTAGATTAGAAGGTCAATGTAATACAACTATAGGTCAAAGTCACACTATATAGTAACATCAATGCCATTTCTAATGTAGGTCCGGTCCCAATAAATAACATGCCAACTGTCAAACATAATTCCCAAGCCACCAAAAATTCTTGGATGGGCAGATGAGGTATACCCAAAACACAGACCAAAATTGTTTTCACAAGACACACCATAACTCTAGATTAGAAGGCAAAAGCAATACAACTATAACTCAAAGTCAAACCATGTAGTAATACAGATAACATTTCTGAGGTGATCAATGATTGAATGTACACAAGCAGCAACTCTTGGACCAAGTGCAAAAGTTGTATTGCTTTTGGCTTCCAATTAACCAATTGCGTCATACAATATTGTTAGAGGATTTAAATATTAAAGCTACACCCTCTCTAGAAGGTTAAGCGATTAAAGTAGACGATGGTTACCAAATATAAATAAACTTACGATAAAAGATGCAATTAGAAATTACCTCCCATCTGGATTGTTGGGAGAAGTCAAAAATATGCACTTCGGCTTCTCTTGATCAACGGCCTTAGTAATCAGTTCGACATCCAAGCTAAAGTCTGGCTTCCGAGGTACTGCTTAGATGAAAACATAAAAAGATTATGTGCATTTGACAAGATATAATAACAATGCATGTAAGCATATAAATGGCAAAATGTTAAAAATAGATTAATCCAGGACTCCTAAATCTTTATGAGTAAGAAAAACAAAGTTAGAATATCAAATATCTAACATGTAGATTAAATAATAAATAAATAAAATTGTGTTTACCCTTGATAACAAGTGCCCCATTAACAGCTGCATCAAATTCATACATTGTAAAGGTCGGAGGACAGTCGACAATTTTGTCACCTGGATTCAGTACACACCTGCAGTAGAAACCAGAGGGGAAAAGAAAACATTTTAAAAAATATGTGGGCACAGCATGCAAGTACACAATTAAGTCCAGTGTAATTTGACAAATGCAAGATCTTCTATCACTAACCGCATAATCAAATCAATGAGCTCATCTGCACCACACCCTGCAAGGATATACTCAGATTCAATGCCAGAATCCTCGGCAAGGGCAGCACGCAATCTACGGCTTTCAGGGTCAGGATAAACATATGGAAATTTCAGGTTCCCCAAAGCCTCAAAAACCTACAAACAATTGTGAAATTTTTACCAATGACACAACAATAGTAAAATTAAAAACAGCGTATGAAATTACAAGAGATTCTATAATAAAAGAGTCTGATAACATCTTCAGTACTAGTGACATCAATTATAAGACTTACCTCTGGAGGTGGACCATATGGGTTTTCATTTGCATCTAATTTAATTATATCCTCAGGCTTTCTTCCAAGACGAGCCGACAAAACCTGTATTAGAAAATCAATAACTTTCATATGGAAATGAGGATAAATTTAGAATGATTACTATAACAACTACTATTCGCAAAAAAATTATGTCTTTAATTAGAACCCACCTTAAGGCTCCATTTGATGAGATGGAAATAGCAAGAAATGAAAGCAAATAGAATTCTTTTAAAAAAATTAAGAGTTTAGATAGCTGGAAAGGTTGAGGGTAACAATTTTCCATAATCACCTAACTTCCCGGTAAATTTTCCTAAAAAAACATAGGAAAATTTTCATTTTCAATATTGCCCTTTCTTTCCTAGTAAGTTTCAAGCATTCCAACCTATGAAATGGTAATTTGTCATAACATTCTTGAAAAAAATTCATGCCAATCAAATGTATGTTTGAAAATTTATTTTCCTTTCATTCACTTCACTTTCTTTTACTTTCACTTTCCACTATTAGTTTTCATCTGACCAAACAAACCCTAATAGAAAATGAATGGCAGCACATCACTTTCCTTTTACAACCATATACAACCTTTGACTTCAGCCATTTTACCAACATTATTGTCTATTAAATTGGTTTCCATAAATACTTCAATTAGAACCCACCTTAATAGAAAATGACTTCACATATTGGCTGACCACTGTAGTAAGTACAGAAGGTCAGTCTTCCCTTTTAAATCTGCAAAGGACAATGATGCTAAATTGTAGTCGTGTCCTTCTCGTAATGGCTGCAATATGTAACCATTACATTCCTATAAAGACACGGCCCACAAAATAACATACACAGAAGAAGAAGAAAAGAGATAAGGAAGAAGGGAATTCTTGCCCCATTAGTTATTTGGGGTTGCCTTTGTTACCTCATGGGTTACAGAAAAGACATTGCAGTGGCTTGATTGATAAGGTCTGTGCTAGAATTACTTCTTGGAATGGGCTATGTTTATCCATGGCAGGAAGATTGGAACTTGTGAGATCAGTGTTGACATCTTTTGTATACTATTGCTTTCAGTTATTAATTACTTGGAGAAAAGGATGAGGGACTTCTTATGGGGCTCCACTGATAATCGCAGGAAGTTGCATGCTCTTAGATGGTCTGTGGTTACTCCTCCAAAGACAGAGGGTGGTTTTGGAGAGAGAAACGTTGACATCAACAAGGCTTCTACCTGCATAGCAGTTTAGGGTTTCATTCAGACTAAGTACTGTCTTTGGGTGGCATGGTTCAAGAGGAAGTATACAAGAGCAGTTTCTTTTTGGAACTGTTATCCCAGGCCTTCTGACTCTATGCCGTGGAGGAAAATGCTGGATATTGGAGAATTCACGCTGCAGCATATCACTTTCAAGATTGGTGATGGTTCTTCCTCTTTGGCTCTATTTACTGATTCACGGTGCCAAGGTCAAAGTGTGATTACTAGGTTTGGCAGCAGAGTTTATAGGGACTTTGGTCGTCCAAAACAAGCTCCATTGTCTGTTATTATCCATAATGGTCAGTGGAGAGTTCCAAGGGATGCTTCTACTGCTGTTGTCAACCAGTTTAGAAATTTTGTTCTGTATCTTGAGATTCATCTGGTAGGGATAGCATTGTGTGGAGACATGGTGTTTTTCCTTTTCAAAGTGTTTGAGATAAGTGCAGAGAGCAGCATGGTCAAGTCAGATGGTTTGCTATCTGCTGGAGTGGGTGCAGACCTAGTGCTTCACTTACCTGTTGCCTAGATATTCAAAACAAGTTATTATCATTGGAGATTTTGAGGAAGAGACTACCTCCAGGCTCCATATGTCATAATTGTTGGCTTGTTACTGATGATTTAGATCACCTTTTTGTTATTTGCCCCCTTGCTGCAACTATTTGGCAGTGGTGTTCTGAACTATTGGGATGGAATTTGCAACAATTTCATACTCTGGACCAGCTGGTCAATTGGTTTTCAAGAAGGAATATCCGACACAGGGCTCAAAAAAAAAAATTTGCTACTGCCGTTTGGCAAATTTGGTATGAGAGGATTATGAGGATGCATCAAGACACTCACACTGCTTTGGAGATTGCCAGAATGGTGTGGTGGGAGGTCTTGCTGTTGGCTGACATGACTCTTAAGGATTTCAGCTCTTTCTGATTTAAGTTTTGTTTTTGGCTTTCTTGTGATTGCTTTCATGTTTTGTTGGTCTGCTTCTCCTGTTTTGACCATATGCTTTTGGCTATGGCTCTTGTACTTCCAAGGGTATGAACTTGAGAGGTTTCATGTACTACATTGTTTCATATCAATATCTTTTCCAACTTTACCTGGGGGAAAAAAAAAAAGAACGGAATTTCTTACTTAATATGAGGTAGGCTCTCATCATACTTCATTATCATCCTATTTTATATCAACCTGCTATATGTATATAAAAGTTTTCAAATAGCTTGAGGAGGCTTTCGTGACTTGAATTTGGATTCTAAACCCTATATGTACCTACTTTTAAGGTAATTCACCTACCTCCTGCCTACAACTCTTACATCAATTCCACTTTTACTCTTTTGAGAGACACAATCTTCTTTACTTGCTTTTCGCCTTTGAAGCATACTCTACCAATTTCACCTGCGTTTTGTTTCTGTTTCCAAGAATGTTTATATTTTGTATGTCCCATGAGCTTATGCTACACATGGATTATTACAGAACAGTTGCAGCAGATCTTATCACAACTTCATCAACGTTTATGTGAAGATTCGGCTTTAAATACTCATTGTGAAGTAAGAAGTATAACGAAGATCATTACATTAATGGATAGAAGAGATAGAACTCGTGTGTATGAAGAACTGGTATGAATCTGAGACGTTGAATGCAATTGTGCCTGGTTGAGTGTCAAGAGTAAGTCTATGTCAAACTACTAAGTTTGTACTTCTTCCCTATTCAGAGTGGATTGGTTAGCATAAGACAGATGCCCTGTAGTTTTTCCCTGCTTAGGGTTTTCCAAGTCAAAGTCTACGTACCCTTTATTTTGATCTTTGCTTTAATTATATGCTTTGTTTGATTGTAATTAATCTGTGATGAAGTTAAGTTTGATAAAAAGAATGACGAGAACAATTCAGAACCCCACTAGGCCTGATTCTACACTTGTGAATCCATTGGGAGCTTCCATTTACATACTCAAAGTGGAGATTTGACTTCCAAAACTGATTAGTCTACTTTATGTGGAAATTTGGAATTTTATTTTGTTATATGTAGAGGAAAGCATCTTTCCAGTGGGGGTAACATAGTTATAGACTATGTTGCTGAAGGAAACTGGAACAAAGAGACCTGCTAGTTGTCATTTATAAAACATTAAAATTTGAAATGTCTCAAGAGGACTTTGTGAGGATCCCTATTCTTCAACTTCTAATAGTATTGAACAATTATACCACTCAATAACTGGTTTCCATTGGTTTACAATTAATTTGTTATGAGACTATTGCTTTTGTTTTTTTATTTAAGAGAATGATATCTAACAATTATCATCACACCCTGTGCCTTGGATTTCCCTCGAGTCTGGATCTTGATTTTTGGGTTGGGACTCTAAGATTCAAGGTTCTGAACATGACAATGTTCCACCCAAGTAGCTAGTATTGAAGGTCTCTTCACTACAGATAATAATTTAATGACGTGAACCACTGAAATTAATCATAACACAAAGTCTCTAGTCTCCACAAGAAACCACATTATCATAAGAATCAATCAAACAACATGCAGCCAACTGATTCAGCATCATAAACAAATAAATCCATAGCTGAATCTGAACGACTTTGAGAAAAAATAGAGTAAATTACCCTCAGACCCCTGAGGTCTATTAAAATTACCCTTAGGTAGAACTTTTTTAGAAATCACTCTAACATCTATGTCAGAGATAAGACCATTAACACCGTTAACGACCATTATAAAAGTGCAAAAATGCCTTCGCTTTTAATAATTATATTTGATCACCTCACTGCTATTAAGCAAAGGAAATTATATAGATTTATATTCCTTTGGGAGAGCTCCCCTATTGGGCGTCTTTTAATGGTATCTTACTTATCAAAAAAATAATAATATAGATTTAATATACATAGGTTACATTATACTATATATATACACAATGCAACTCCTCTCCTCAATCCCACTGTCAGCTAGCATCCTGAAAACACCACCCCCTCCTCTTCCACCCCTCCTTCCCCACCACCACACCAAATTTCCCTTTACTCCCATGGCCCCTCGACTACATCCTCTTCTTCTTCTTTGCCCGCGCACCGCGACCACAATTGCCTCTGCCCTGGACTCAAACATCATTTGTTTAAAGCTTTCATGGCGATGGTGACGAATGTGAGTGGCAGTACACTGATAACGAAGATGCCATACATTGTTTTTGGTATTTTTGGTAAAAGTTGATGTTCAACTACTCCAAACATTAAACCGGATATGTCAATAAAGACAGTCGTTTTGGCATAAAACACATAGCAAAGTTGCTCAACTGCGATGCTCCACCCAAATAAAAATACAACCATGGCCTTAACATCCTCTACCACCAACTTGCCCCACACTTTCCCATCTTCCACATTGTCGTCAACAAACAATGCCCGTCAATTGAAAAATATAAATTCAAGTGAGAACATAATTAGTTTATTTTATAGTTTCATCTCTCAAACACAAAAATGGACAACCATAGGCTTTGTATTCAACATTTTTTTGATCCAGTTCATTTAACCAAAACTAGAATAAGCAATAAAAGATATCTACAGTAATTACAAGTAATCAACAACTATATAAGCCCCAATGAGAATGAGTAACCAATCAATCCAATCATACTCGCAATTGGGTGCAAATAGAGTTTCGAACCAATAATTAACGAACAAATCATGGATAATCAATCAGCAAGAAACAACAAATTTCACAATTGTTACTAAATCAACTGACAAAAAAAAAAAAAAAACAGTGAAATGGGCCGGTCTGAAATACCTCAAATGGCAAAATGGGTTGATAGGGAGACAACTGCCGGAGATGGGGTCGAATAAAAGAATCCCCGGTCAACCGTTGTCGACCCTCCTCTTTGACATGCGTTTTTACAGGAATGGTGGAGGCCATAAAAGTGACCCTCCTGCGATTTTCTTCAAATGAACAATTGGGTCTGTGCGATGGGACGAAGCAGAGACCAATGTCGGATTTAATCATGCAAAGAGATGACTGGCTGTAGAAATCAATCACACCCATGAAATCTGCAGGTTTGAGCTCGAATTAAAAAAATAATAATCAACACAATTCCGCGGAATTTAAAAAGAATCGGAAAAACAGAACAAAGGGAAGAAAATAGAAGAGGATTCACATCACCTGGAAGTGAAGATGAGTAGGAGGAATGTCGAATGTGAGTGTGGGTTTGAACTTTGACTGCAATGGTCGAATGAAGAGAGGGAGAATTCTAAAACCCTACCGACAGTAACGGACAAAATTAACAGTTTTTTATTTTATTACGGAGTTTGGTTTCAATACGCAGCCTCTGCACAGGGGCGCGAATCCTCTCAGGCAGCTGATCAATTATCCCAAATGTTCACATTTGGCCACGTCATTTAATTTAATCATATGTGGGGGCCATTTGAATAGCAAAAAGGCAATTCCAAAAATCTCTTTATTGGGAAATTTTTTTTATTGTGCCGGTTGTATCGTTCAACGGGTGTATCAGACTATTTATGTAATATATATATTTACGCGTGTATTACATTTAATTGGCGTATTTTGACTAGTTATGTACGGAGTAATGGGTTGTACTTTGTAAAAACTAGTGAGCGAAGAAAATCTCTCAATGTGTTTTGTGGAGCTTGGTGAGGTCAAAAGTCCATTAAAAATGCTTATCTATACGTGAGTTTGATAAAAGAAATTATATATATATATTTGTTTGATGAAGATATTTTTTTTTTAAGTCATTTGAGAATTATCAAATTTAATTTACAGTAGTGTTAGTACACTTATAATAGGCTCAATCAAGAGTGGATATTTTGTAGTCATGTCATGTCACAGACGGATTCTTGACTATGCTAGGAGCAAGGAAGATACGCATATTGGTTGATGAAGGACAACAATTGATTGGGAATGATTTTAAGAAAGGGGCGTGCAGGACCACAAGATGGTATTTCTTCATAGTTCAGTCACGTCGACTCGGTTCAATTCGATGAGTTTGTCGCTAGTCGTGGACTTAACTATGAAGAATGGAATTGGCCATCCCTGCATAAACTGGTCGGGAGTTATAGTCATTCCCTTAATGAGGCCAAGGCAGGTTTCACATGTAGCTTCGATAGGGCAGGTTGTGGTGGCTGACTATGGTGTTTGTGCGAGTAGAAACAATGCTTTGATGCCACAAGGGTCGTGCCGCTGCGCCAAAACTCTAGGCTGGTGACACATCACTTCTCACGGACTCTAACTCCGGTTGTACTCTTTGTATTGGATTTCATTTATATGGTGGTTATTTTAGGTGTGTATTCCTGATAGTGGTTAGATCATTGATTGAATTAAATTTATTCATGGCTAAATAAGAACTTAGAAGTAAAACATTGTTGGCAACTAACATCGTTGATGTGGCAGCGTTGATGCCGGCAACGTAGTGGCACAAAAGGACTAGTGGCAGTGAGTGTGAAATTGGTCACGGTGGTTGTGAAATTGATGGCGATAAACAAATAATATAGAAGGTGGAGGATGGGGGCGAATAGGATTAACTGGGGGTGTTGGGTCATCCGTGGATAGTTTGTTTCTATCGTTAAGTTAGTTAATTATGATAATAATGGAGTTTAGAGAGAAGAATAAGAACTTACAAAGAGATAATTGATAAGGATAAGGATAACATAGGTATTTTGGTGCTAATTGATAAAACTGAAAATTAGGTATTGAAAATTTTAAGAGTTGATTTTATTTTTTTTAGTTGGTTGAGCTAAATTTTAAGTGTTGAAGTTTTTAAGGAATAATTAAAAAATAAATAAATATTTTTAAAATTATAGCATTGAATGACAATTTATGTCCGTATTTCTTACTCCATTTTAAGTGGTATTTACTATTTTCACTTATATTTAAATTACATTATCAAACATACTTAATTAGATAACTTATGAAATAAGCGTTGAATTTGAACTATTTGCATCTCACTATATTTTACATCCACAATGCCTGACCGTGAGGGAAGTGAGTTTTAAAAGCAACTATTAGTTGCTTCTACTGAAGGGGCTTTGAAGGAGCCTTATTTTTGGGTTTAAGAGCCTATTTTGAGGGTGCAGGAAGCCCGTGACCCCAAATGGTTTCTCTTTTATAAAAAATATCGTGTATTAAATTGTTATTTAATGATAAATTATGTTAATGATACGTTGAAGAGAACTTTTCTGATTATCAAAAGAGGGGTGATGCAAATGGGTAGAAGAATGGATTGTCTACAATTGCCATTGGGTATATGTTATATTGTAGCTTGGGGGTATATTCCCAATAGGTTGATGTATTCATCATTGGATAAACTAAAAAAATTATCTCAAAGCAGGTATAGGTAGAAATGCAATATTCTATCACTATGCTATATATATATTTGGTTGGAAGGATGAATAAATCTTTTCGAATTTGGTTGGTTGGAGGAAAGTGAAGAGAGGGAGGAAACAAGGAGATAGAGCATCCCTTGTTTCTTTATGTTTTCTTATCCGTCCAATTTTGAGGAAAGAGAGGAGAGAGAGAAGGATAACTACCAACAAATATATAATTATTAATTTTAACCTTTTCAAAAAACAATTAAAATAGATATTTACCTTTTATAATTTTATATAATGAGATTGTTTTGGTAAAAATGTTATAAAAACTATATTTTTCTTCCTTTCAATTAAATAAAAAAATAATAATAATAAAAAATAAATATCACTCCATCCATCATTTCTGCTATCAATTTATTTAAACCAAACAAAAAATGGAAGATACCTTCCCTTTTCAAAGAAAACCTCATCCATCCCTCGCTTCTCTCTTCCATCCATAATTCCTTCCTCCAACCAAACGAAACATTACTTTCAAACACATGTAATTGTACACGCACATAAGGTAGGTTGGATCATAAACAGACGAGCGAAAAAGAAGTGCATAAAGGACATATCCCAACTAGGTAAAGATCATGACACATTTGAGATAAATGCAAAGTAATTCAATAGTAGTAGTTCACATACATAAGATATGGTATTTGGATCTGCTCTTATAAAATAATTGTGGTTGGAATATTTACGCCCAATTGACACATGGTGTGATACCATCCCTAAATATTTGCTCGAATGGTAAATTTAAAAAGAGGATACTTATTCATAAGATATATCCCAATAAAGTTCCTAACTCATTGAGCAGCACAACTCACTTTGTAATATATTCCCAATATAATAATATAAGTTAATGTTGAGATGGCCTAAATTAACTATGATTGATGGAGTTTTGGACTCTACTTTTTTTCCCCAATGGAGAAAGTTTCATCACCAAGTAGGATATATTTTTTGTTTTAATGGTTAGGTATGGATTAAATTATGCTTAATTATATCACTATTATGCCCATTGATTGTTATTTGAGAACTAAGAAGAATCACATGAGAAGGGGTATATTTGGTAGAACATTGATCGTGATATTAATTATAGATTATTGTATTCTAAAGTGGAAATAGCATATCCCACTTAAGATTTGCAGCTTTCCATTCGGAAAGTCTTATGTTTTTCTATAAGTTAATTTAAAGAATGTTGCCAGGCTTGAAAATAGAAAAGAATATTAGCACACGCACAATGCAATGTGATTATATCTAGTTTAATATTGAAACTTTTTTCACAAATTTCTCGAATAAGACTAATCTCGAGAAAAGAATATTAGCGCACTTACAGATGCGTGCACACATTTAGTCAATGATTAAGAATATTTGGCCGACCCTTAAAAGTTAGTAACCATACTCAAAATGTTAAGGAAATAGCCTGATCGAATATCTTTCGGGCCATTTTTAAAAGTTTTTTTATAGATAATTGCCTGGTAGATGTGGCGCAAGAGCCTCTCTAAAAAAGTTGGGAACAATTTGAATAGTCAATATAAAATAAAAGAAAATTTTATCTCACAGAATCAGATTTTCAAATAGTCAAAGGAATATAAGAATTAAGAAGACAATTCTACTCACGAAGAACTAATTAATCAAAAGCATCAAGGTTCCTTGCAGTTTCAACTCTCTCACTCACTCTCAAACTCATTCTCTGCTCCAAATACTTCTCTCTGGTCAAACCTAACGGTTACAAAGTATTACACGCACGTTCAAATGTATGCAGACAAATATGATAAATAATCTTCTCATAGCAGTGTTTTACTGAATATTTTTATTTTTCAATGGGTTATATCTCTTCCTAGCATTTAGCATAGTATTAGGGTCCATTTAGTTTAGTAACAATCATGCTTGCATGCTTACCATTTCCAAAATATGCGTACATATTTAGAAAGTATTCACAGATTTAAGTGCGAACAATTAATCCCCTAAACGATCTTGGAACACATTGTTTTCGTTGGTCTGACCCTCACGAGATTGTGCAAGCTCCCTATTTGCGGTTAGGGATAGACGTATTTTGAAAATCGTGAGCATATAAATTGTGCAAAGAAGACATTACCTACACAACGAGGCAACTCGTGATAAATAGTATCAAGTCAATCTCTAGCTGGAAATGATAGAGCATATACAAGTCCATAAGAGTCAGGCAAGTGAGGACGCTGGATCCCAAGAGAGGGTAATTGTGACGTTTCATATCGCTTAGGGGAGAGTTTGTTGACGCTAATATATATGAGTGCCTCATGTCATAACAGTGCCAAAAATTATAAATACCATGCAAAATGAACAATATATATGCATCTTAATGAAGTGTTTGATGAAACATTGTATAAATATTTTTCACACATAATGTTCTTATATTTGATGCTCCACAATAGTAAGACTTTATAAAAGAAAAATTAAATTATCTTATGAAATAAAATTAGAGAGTTAAAACATTACCAGACATATTTAAACGAAAATGTTTGAAATAAAAGAGATTATTAAGTGGTGGAACAGAATCACAAACAGCAGTTGGTTAGTTTTCAACGACATAAAGAGCTGCTTGTGCTTACTCACCATACACTATCACGCGAAAGCCCTCCACTGCAAAGTTCGTCTTCCTGGGGACTCTCTCTCTCTTTCTCTATAAAAATATACACACACGCATACATATATGATTATCTTGCTTTTCGCATTTGTAGACACATATATTCTACTGCGTACATCCAAATTTCTCTGCTTTTTGTGCATTCTTAATTTTCTGTGCTATATTAGCTCACATATCTGTTCATAGATCACTCTCTTCTTCTTTGTGGGTTGTCAATCAGCGTTTCCATGAAAAGGGTCTTCAATGTATGATGTAATCTTGAAATAGGTCTGTATTTGTTCAGTTCTACAAAGTTTTATTGATACCCATTTGCTCTAAATTGTTCTAAATCTCTTCTAATATTTATTTTTCAATATGGGCTCTCCCTAATTTTTCTGTTTCAAATCTGTGAAAGTTGTACTTGTGGTCCTATATAGACATCTGTGCCCATCTTCTTTAGAATGTAAGGTTTTAATTGAATTATAGTGATTTCATTTGCTTGAATGTGTTCTAAACCATCTTAAATTCAGTTTAAAATAATGGGTTTTGGTTAAATTTTCAGTTTTTGCTATCTAAAATTTTTAAAGTTTAAGTTTGAATTTTCTCAATAATTAGCATGTAAGTTAGAGCTGATGTGTTCTTTTTTAGGTGGAGTGTCTTCTATTTATTTGATTTTAAGTGTCTTTCTATTTTATTAATCTTGATGGTCCCAATTAACAAGGACTTCCATTCCCTAGGTATGGCTGATTTTCATTCCATATGGAAATCAAATAAATAGAAGTTTGCAGGGTCTGAATTAGCTTGAAAACTCCATCTTTTTTTTTAATATATATTTATTACTAATTGATTCTTTAGTTATATGTAGCATTATACTCAAGTTTATTAATTTACAAAATCATTGAAATGTAAAAATTCCCAAACAGTATACATTTTTGTTCATAAACCCTTCATTAGGGGTCAATTAGACAAAATTTATAAGCCTTTTCCTTTAATTTCCATTGATGATCAAGTATCCCTTGTCTTTCTGCCATATTTCCACACACTTTTGCTTATGCTAATATAGTTATCATATTACCGGCCTCTCGAGTTGCTTAAAATCTGCATCCAGTTTAGTCTAACCCGTATCTCATCTCATCCTGATCACTTGTTTGTCAAATTAAACTAAAAATTAAAAAAAAATAAAAAAATCTCATTTATCCTTTTCCACCAAACTCTTGGGTTATCATGGAAGAAACATTTGTTCCCCTTCGTGGAATCAAGAATGATCTCAGAGGAAGACTTTTGTGTTACAAGCAAGATTGGGCTGGTGGAGTCCGTGCCGGATTGAGGTTTGTCACTCTCCTAGACCTTGAATACAGTAGCATATATGATAATTTTGTGTAGTTACAAAGATATAATGATATTGTATTTGGCCTTCTCAAAATAAAGAGCAATTTTTCTTTGTATATAATATCATATAAAGAAAAATTTAGTATTTTTTGGATGTGGTACTTATTTGGATGCCATATTGAAGTTTTTATCGTAAACTTTTGTTCCACAGGATACTGGCTCCTACGACTTACATTTTCTTTGCTTCAGCAATTCCAGTTATATCGTTTGGGGAGCAACTCGAAAGAGAAACTAGTAAGGGGACAATTAAATGCAAGTGTCCTCTTGTTGTTACTTTTTGCAACTATAGATTTGCTAAGACAAGCTCTGTAACTGTAAATGTCACAGATGGAAGTTTAACTGCAGTGCAAACTCTTGCATCAACCGCCATTTGTGGTGTCATACACTCGATTGTTGGAGGACAGCCACTGCTTATACTTGGAGTTGCAGAGCCAACTGTGTTGATGTACACTTTCATGTTCAACTTTGCGAAGGACCGAAAGGATTTGGGGGAGAAACTGTTCTTAGCATGGACAGGATGGTACCTCCTGGAAACTAATAGAATTTGAGAACACATGCATTGATATTTTGTGATAATTCTTAGTTCTATTTATTTGTTTTTTCTGTAACATTGTTGTATTCAGGGTTTGTGTTTGGACTTCCCTTTTGCTATTCCTGCTGGCCATATTGGGTGCATCCTCTATAATCAATAGGTTTACGCGTCTGGCTGGTGAACTCTTTGGTCTTCTAATTGCAATGCTCTTTATGCAGCAGGCTATTCGGGTGAGTATGGTATATAATCTTTCAGCTGATGAGTTTTAATTGAATACCCTTTGCACAACATACTAATATATGTTCTTCATTGTATTTTCATCTCATGAATTCCATTCCTTAGGGAGTTGTAGAGGAGTTTGGCATTCCCGAGAGAGAAAACACTAATCAGACTGCACTTCTTCCTTCTTGGCGCTTTGGAAATGGGATGTTTGCATTGGTTCTGTCCTTTGGCCTTTTGCTTACTGCATTGAGGAGCCGTAAAGCTAGATCCTGGTGTTATGGGACAGGTATGCTTTATTGCTTTGACTAAATTCATTCCTTGCATGTTATGGACTTGGATTTCTAATTTAAATATCTATTGGTTACTCTTAGCAATTTCGAGCTTATAGTTTGGCTACCTCCTCTGTCCTCAATTGGTTTCATGTTGTTAGGATTACTAACATTTTTCTGCATTTTGTAAAAATACTAACTAAAATTTCATAATCCTTTAACACGTGTTCTGAGTGAATTATTTCAGCTCCATGCTTTCTTTTCCTTTACTCAAAATTCAATCAAGTAGTGCACTAATTTCAATCATTTTTATTTGTAGCAAACAAGTATTTAGTTTATTGAAATCAAAGTCAAAATCAGAAGAATATATTTTTCTTTGGTGACATAAGATCTAATTGAATTTATCTTTTAGTTTTCTGATTCTAAGATTTGCTTTCAAGGTTGGCTACGGGGATTTATTGCAGATTATGGCGTCCCACTAATGGTGCTTGTGTGGACAGCTGCATCTTACATACCAGTTAACGATGTCCCAAGAGGGATACCTAGGCGGCTTTTCAGTCCAAATCCCTGGTCTCGTCGTGCATATTCAAATTGGACGGTCATCAATGTGATTCCTATGCTTTACTTTCCTTCCTGTAGTGCATATTATTCTTTTCACTACACCGGCCAGTTCAAAAAATGATTTTTTTCCCGCCCTTTTAAGCTCTATTGTTTCCTAATTTTGCTTGAAACTAATGGTTGAATATTTGAACAGGATATGTTGAATGTTCCTCCTCTATATATCTTTGGAGCATTTATTCCTGCAACTATGATTGCAGTACTTTACTACTTTGATCACAGTGTTGCATCTCAACTTGCACAACAAAAGGAGTTCAATCTGAAGAAACCAGCTTCATATCATTACGACCTTTTTCTTTTGGGCTTCTTGGTGAGTTATTATCCTGGAACTTCAATATATTTTTTAATCCTTATATTTCAGTTGAAACAGTCACACCAATTATCGAACCAGGGTTTTTGTATTTGATCATAGCTAGTATGGCTTTTTCTTATTCCTTCAAATATTGTTTTTCGACCAGGTCATACTATGCGGTCTCATTGGCATTCCTCCTTCCAATGGGGTTATTCCACAATCTCCAATGCATACAAAAAGCTTAGCCAGCCTGAAACATCAGGTAATATCTAATTGTTCAAGGTACCGAAAGTTACTTATATCTCATATCTGTGTGATTGACAGAATCCTCTCGTCCATAGATTGCAAGTTCAAAATTTTGAACTATAGTACTTTTTTCTTGCAGTGTTATCTTTTTAGCTTTACTGTCCCACAAACACCCAAATTTCGATAGGAAGATGTCTTACCCGCTTCATGCTACACTCAATGCACACAAAGCGGGACCATGACCCAATGATTTGCATGCTGGGTGACTCCATATACATATATGTGTGTGTGTGTGGGTGCAGGCATGTATGATGCAGTAATCACTCATCCTAACAATTATACAAGTGTGATACTTCTGGACCGTTCATTGTGTGGTTACAGACTGAACAGTGAGAGCAATCTTGTCAAGACAACTTTTTGTGAGAAGATTTTCCCAATATCCATGGTTGTCCTGCTTGTTTTCCAGCTGCCCTTTTTTCTCCAATACAGTAGCACCTACCTACCTATTCCTATGCTGCTTTAAGATTCCTTTCCGGTTAGAGTGTCTCTTCATTCTATTAGATGAGAGAACCTTTGTTTCTTATTAATAGCTATTTTTTTTATTTTTTTTTTCCTACTTGAAACAGATTCTACGAAACAAGCTTGTATCAACAGCTCAAACAAGTATGAAAAAAAATTCAAACCTGGCTCAGTTGTACCGGAGCATGCAAGAAGCATATAATGAAATGCAGACTCCATTTGTCTATCAAATCCCACCTGCTTTGGTAAATAATCCTATTATGATCTTTGAATGGTTTGAAACTATGAATTATGTTTTCCTCCCATGCTTTAACTTTCTGCTTTGAAAAGGGATTGAAAGAGCTGAAGGAATCCACAATCCAACTGGCCTCGAGCACTGGCTACATTGATGCCCCAGTTGATGAAACTGTTTTTGACATGGACAAGGATATCGATGATCTTTTACCTGTCGAAGTCGAAGAACAACGCCTCAGCAATCTGCTTCAGGCACTGATGGTTGGTGGTTGTGTGGCTGCAATGCCCCTTCTAAAGAAAATTCCTACTTCAGTTCTTTGGGGCTACTTTGCTTTCATGGCCATTGAAAGCTTGCCTGGAAATCAATTTTGGGAGAGAATATTGTTGCTTTTTACTGCTCCAAGTCGAAGATACAAGTAAGTTCGTGTTCATATTCGTGGCCAGGGGTGATGATTTTAGCTACTTACCCTCGGTATTCATCTTGGATTCTAGGAGTACAGAACTCTAATCCATATTATTAAACTTGACAGGGTATTGAATGCGTATCATGCAACCTTCATTGAGACTGTACCTTTCAAAACAATCGTCATCTTCACCTTGTTTCAGACAACTTATTTGCTTGGGTGTTTTGGCATAACATGGATCCCGAGAGCTGGTGTTCTTTTCCCACTACTGATCATGCTTCTTGTTCCCGCACGGCAGTATTTACTTCCTAAGTTTTTCAGAAGTGCACATCTTCAAGACTTGGATGCTTCAGAATATGAAGAAGCCTCTGCTGTAACCTACAATATGTCCTTCGCAGTGAGTTCCATGACCCTTTCTTTATTTCAGCTAGGCCTATCAACGGTTAAAAGTTTGGAAAAGTTTTAGATGTCTGACTCTGAATCAAATCCAAGAGTTGTAGGAATTTGGATACAGAAGATGTTAGCAGGTCAGAATAATTGAATTCATATCAGATTCAGGATATATAGTAAAGATCAGTCTGGCATATACTGCGGAATTCAGATTCTTTTGTAATTTGGTACGAAATTTGAGAGCGGAAACTATCGTAATGGACTTAAATCATATTTTAATTTATAGACTAATTCTAGCTAATCTTCTGAAGCTACTAAAATCATCTATGTATGATTTCAGATTCTATTTTTGACATTTGTACACAATTTGAAAGTGGAAACTATGATAATGGACTTAAATCATTATCTGATCTATACGCCAACTCTGCTATTCTTCTGAAGCTAGTAAAATCATCTATGTTCTATATATATGTGCAGGATCAAGATCCTCAGGCAAGAACCACCCACATTGATAATGGGGAGCTTCTTGACGAAATTATCACATTTCGTGGTGAGATCCGCCATGTACACAGTCCAAGAGTAACAAGTTCGACCCAAGGTTCAATAAAGCATATGAAGCCTGCTGATAGCCAAATGGTGTCACGGAAGGAATACAGCCCCCGTGTGAATGAGCTAAGGGTGGAGAGGAGCCCTACATTGACTGGAAAGCACTTGAAATAAAGCAAGCTCCCATTCTTCGGAACATTCATCTTTGGCCAAAGAAGTTGTGGTTCTTCTTCAAGCTAAATTAATGTTCAACTCCGTTACTCCGGTGAGTGTAATTGTCAAGGTGCTCGAGAGGTCATGTATCATATAACTTATTATTGTCTTGTAGGTGCTAGTGTTTCTTTTAAAGACTCTTAACTTGTCAAAGGTACAAGTTTTATCTGTGTTACTTTTCTTTTATCGCCATAATGTGCTGTGTAGAGGTTAAATTTTGTGATAATGAAAGAAACTTTTTACCCTTTGATACAAGAAAACTTTTAGCCCTTTGCATAAATTCTGCTAGAAGTTTCTACCTTTATGATAAATTTATGTGGAAGAACTAAGAATAGGGGGCATAAATGACGAGATTTATTTAACTGGCTCTTGATATGTGTTTAGCATTTACTAAGCCGCCTGTAAATAAAATGCTAAAAGTAATTGGATTACACTGCATAGTTCTATTATGCAAGTAACTGTGTGAGTGTGTGTTTGTTAAGAACTGGCTTAGGTTTTCAGTTTACCTGCCTATGAGTCATTGCTGAACTAGAAACCAGTACAGTTTTCTCTATATTATAATTTGAATTCTGAAATCAAGAACTAATTTTTGGATCATAAAACGCACTTATAGGCAGATAAGCAAAGGAAGAAATAAGATGCTCTTATCTAGGCCTACTTTATGCATCATCAAAAATAAGTTACTAAAATGAGCAACCGATTTTTTCATGGAACTCATGTCTCATGTCGAAGGAGATACCACTAGACTAGACCTTGGTATTCAACAAAGCCTTATTTGAGCCTTAGAGGTCCATCTCTGAAAAAAGAAGAAAAAACAAAATCAGAGCATTTTTTTTTTCTTTTCGAATTGTCAGAAGGAAAATTAAGAAGGATAAATGAGATTTGTTTAAGCTTCATTAAGAATGACTGCGAATTTCAATTTCATTTGGTTGGGATAGGATAATTAAGGCAGGGTAGACAGAGTGATAGACTAAAAGGGAATGGAGAACCAAGTTGCATAATAATGCTGAGATTATGAACGTGAGTGGGAAAGGTATGGACTAGTGGAGTCCACAAAGAAAAACAAAAAGAAATGAAATCTACTTGTGAGCATCAAGAAATCCCTTTTGCTCCTAAAACTATTTACACATACGCATAAGGTTGAAATCCAAGATTTATGTAGTTTAAATGAAAAAAATTGTTGTCAATCTACCAAATACGTCCCTTTCCTTACTCTAGGTTTGGGATTAACTGCAAAAGAAACAATAGAGAGATTGTTTCATCATAGTGCAACGAGTTGTGACCCATTACTATGATATTTAATTAGGTATTTTAGATTCTTTTAATTGTGCTTCAACTATGATATTTAATTTCTTGTTATTGTGAATGTTGTCATGAATCATGATCATGAGATTAGGCATTATGAACTTTGTGAACCTGATGAACAATTAGCCTTAGTACAGTTATATCAGCCCTCGCTTGTTGAGGGTAAGATAGGGTTGCACGTGAGGGAGGGCATTGCTGTGTTCGAGAGCTTGATATACATTTTCGGACCCATTCCTTAACAGCTTAGTTTTTCAGACAATTAGATGTCTAGCATCATGTCTTTTTTTTAGCTTGACATGTGTTCGTTATGGCCTTTTCTAGTTCTTAACACCATTCTCCTTTTTCACTCCATTGATTCCTTCTTCAATGCCAATGTGAACTCGGAATGCAGAAAGATGCCACAGTTCATATGGCTGGAAACAGAGGGAAAAGATCATTTACACTGTCATGAAAGTGGTGGCCTACAACTCATTTGGTGACTACACAAGTTAGTGGAATGCATACTATAGCCTCCACTGTCACTACTATCAACACCACATTTGCTATTCCATTCTGTAAGTTTGTTCATGCTCCCCTTACATCAATGACATGTTTGGTAGTGATAGAGATTGATGGCCACTCAGGGAACCATCTCCTAAAAAGAACCCTAAAGAAATATTGCATGAAGTGTCTCCATTTAGAGATATTTCTTATTACTCTGAGTTATTTCCACAATATATAGATAAAACAGTAGTTACTTTGTATGTGGATAAAATTTCTTTTTGGGTAAATAATTTAAATGTCAAAAAAAAAAAAAAAATGGATGTGGATACATTCTGCATCTATGTTCAATTAGAACTGGTTTTGTATGATTAAAAAAACGTGTAATAGAGCCAAATCATTTCTTTGGAAAAAATGTCTTACGGGTTTTAGCTTATGAAGATACGCAATGATTTGTTAAAGTTTATGTTCCCCGTCAATGTTGGTTGAAGCATGAATCACTTTTGGGAGTGGGAATGAATTTTAGGTATGCAAACCACTCTGCAACATAGTGGGGCCCTTGCTTTAATTAATTGATATTAGTTATTCTTTATTTTTTTGACGAGCAAGGTCAAGATGATCAGACGATTGTGCAAGAGAAGGAATAATTATCTTCTTCAGATTCTATGTCTTGACTCGAGAAATTTAGAGCAACAGGAATGTATGGTTGAAAACAAAAACAGATTTGCAAACCAAATATTTCATTTACATAACTTTGGTACGAGATTGAAAAAAAAAAAATTTTAAAATTATACTAAGTGCAGAAAATAAAGCTAAACTAAAAAAGTAAGTAATGTACAAGAATGATGTAGGATAATTTGATTTGCAGGTCACTAATGGATGGTGAATTAGCTTGTTGGTGATGATGTTAGTGGTCATTGATGTTGATAAAAGTCATGTTAGTACTTAGAAGTGAATGAAGTGTTTTTGAATTCATTTTTTGACGCTGAAGTCATCTTGGTCATTGAAGTTGTGTTCTTGGCGTCATAGTAATTTTATCATGAACTCATGTTTGAAGAGTTTGTGTATGCAAGTTTCATAACTTGTAATGAACTCTTGTTTGAAGTGATTGAAGTCTTTACACTTGAAGAGCTTGAAATTATTATTATTATTATTTTTACATCTCATTTCACTGCAACAAACCATTTCTACGACCATTTTGATCAACGACAAGTTTACATCCCATTTCGCTACATCTTATGACACTCAACACAACAAATGACATCACAAATTTCATCTTCAATGCACTACAACAACCATATTTAAACTACATTGACACATTTTTCTTTTAATAATCTAAATATAGTACACATAAGGTTTTTTGTTCCCAAAACACAGTACATAACACTCCAATTCCTTGGAATGGCTACACAAGTTCACTAGAGCATTAAGGAAACAAGAAGTATCACAACAGATAACCCACAAAAAAATAAAAATAAATAAAAATAAAAATTCCAACAAAGAGGGCTCATGCTATAGCTATAAAGGAATTAATAAGAGGAGCGGTTCGTGTAGGATGATTCTCTAGAAGGGTTTCACACACACGCACAGAGACGGACCTACCAAGGGCCCAATGGGGGCAACAATGGTCCGTGTAGGATAATTATTTTACACACACACAGACGAACCTACCAAAGGCCCAGTGGGGCATCTGCCAATGAAGTCATTTTAGTAGAAATGTGAAACAATAACTACTTAGATGTTGACTTGGTTTGATTTACTTGTCTTGAGAAAACCTTATTGCAAAAATGAGCATTGGTGATAGTGCTCTTAAAGAAACCTCATGATAGAAGCCAAAAAAAAAAAAAAAAAACCCTAACAACTGGGAAGAAGTGATACAGTGAGCTAGAGAAATAATGGATGTGAAAATTGGTGAGTTAAACCAACTGGAGTGGTGTTTCATCAATGGCGATACAAATTGAAGAATAAGGTGGGTGAAATTGATTTGAAAAACATGGTTTATAATGGCAAAATTTCGGGTTTTCCTCCAATTCTATGGAACAGGGTTGTTTTGGAAATCAAGATCATTTTGGTCATTTATTAAAGTTTCGAGATATTTGGATTTACTTAGTTTGTAATTCTGCAAATAGATAACTGAAAATCAGAAACTTGTACAAAAACTTTGCTCAGTTTGAAAACAGTTTTTTGTTTTCTAAATTCTTGAGAACTGTTTGCAAATTTACAAACCAAGCATACCGGTGTTCCATATGATCTTTTACTGTTTCATTCTCAATGGGTCTAATGCAAAAATCATGATAGTTTAATGTGCATATAATATAAAAAAATAATAGCTTGAGGAGTTATCTGCAAATTTAGATAAAGTGCAGAGGAGTATTTTGCACTTTACTCGACCAAGGGAAATTGTATGAATACTAATCAACCCTGGTGTCCTAATGAAAACGACGCCGGTTTGGGCAGTAACTTCCATTAGTAACTCGAGATATACATTCATTCATTGGTGCATTCACTGCCTCGGTAGGTTCATCACTCTCTCTCTCTCTCCACATCTACAGTGTAAGTAGAGAGAGAATGAGGCCTCAAATAGTATTATTTGGGGACTCAATCACGGAGCAATCCTTCAGATCAGGTGGATGGGGTTCAGCTCTTGCCGATACCTACTCTCGCAAGGTTACTTTTTTTATGCATTTTATTCTACAAATCAAATTTCATGCCTTTTATCAGTAATCAGTGTGTGTTTGATGATTGTGTGTGTGATGATTTGCAGGCAGATGTTCTGGTTCGTGGGTATGGTGGATACAACACACAATGGGCCCTCTTCTTGTTGCATCATCTTTTCCCTCTGGTAAAACGCATTCTATAGATATAATGGAATGTATAATTAGATCGGATGGATTTTCCCTTTTTTCATGTTTTTATTGTGATTTTGTCATTCCTCAATTCATGTTTGTGTTCATGAATTCATGTTAAAAAAATGGGTTTTATTTTATAATTGATGAACAATTTTAGTTTTATTGTTAAAGTGAATGTTGTGCAGAAATTTATGTGCATGATTTGGTAGTGGGTGTTGAAGGGATAGATTTGTTTACACTCTTAAGAAAGGCAAAAGTGTTACGGGTGATTACACAAACATAGAATTGTGTGCGAATGCTCTGCAATGTAGGAGTTTTATTGTTAAAGTAGTCACCTTGTGGTCAAGCCATAGATCACCGGGATCATAGGATTATTTGGTTTAGTGACTGAAGATTAAGACTTGTCAAAGTGGCATCTCTTTGAGGTCTACATTTCGACATAGAAAGACCATGCCCCTGAGATCTACACCTTGGCCTAGCTTAAATGATTTTGTGGCATAAATTTTTGGTCTCATCTTCGAAAGTGGCTTCCAATTGCTTAGAAATTCTCAGCTATTCGGGTGGTCTGGATGGTGAGCAAAAACAATTGATCCAGTTACGTATGTTTAGTGACATGGCAACCCCCTATTCTTAATTGAAAAAAGGTCATTACCCAGTATGGTCCCCGTTACTCAAGGTTGCTGGGAGGGGTGGGCCGGATACAAACTTAACCTTTGACATTATTTACAGAGTTTCTGGTCTCAGCATCCAAACCACGCTATCACGCCTGACAGCCTGAGTATTTTAGTAGTACAATAGGTAATGTCTCTTCCTCAGTGCCTCATTGTTGTCCTCGCATGGTAGTACTGCTTCTAAATGCTGCATTGCCACTTCTTTGTTTGCAATGCCACTTTTCTACCAGGTCCTATTGGATTGTGCCACTATATAACTATAATTATACATGATCTGGTTCAATGAATGAGTGAATGATCCAAATTATTGGTATATTGATTTTTATGGAAGAATAACACATAAAAACGGGTTATACAGCTCATTGCTTTGCATTTCCTGGATTGAACAACTCCATTAGAAGGCTGTTGTTGAGCCTAATTTTTAAGAATGTTTGTAACTAATTGAGCAATGATTGATCATATGGTCTCTTTTGCAGGGCTCTGCAACACCTCCTGCTGCTGCCACAATTTTTTTTGGAGCTAATGATGCAGCCCTTTTAGGGAGGAACAGTGAACGGCAACATGTGCCTGTTGAAATGTATAAGGAGAATCTTCAAAAAATTGTTCGTCATTTGAAGGTTTAAGTTGTGCTGTTATAGTACTTTAACAACCTGTTCTTTATTTCCGATAAAGCAATTGTGTGCTTCTCTTTTCCTAAAGATGCCAAACCTCAATCGTCATTGGGCTTCTGATCTGTGCTATATATGTTTCAGCCTGCCCATGCATCATTCCGAGTGGCTGAAATTGCTGTTGTCTTATGCATTCATTATGAGCGCACAAAAGTAATGTTGATTACCCAAAGAAATTCATGAAATGGCCCATAATTGAATCATGAATTTCGGAATTGCATCTGCTAAATTTTTTTCCAAGTATTTCAACTTATTGACTGAACAACTTGGTTAGATTAATATCCTAATAATGTATGCAGTGAAGGCATGCCTTTCGTCCTTCTGAATAATTTTTGGATTGTTTAGCTCTGGAATGTCTATTGGTTTCTAAGGTTATTAGTCAAGTGCGGGGGGCTGGTTTTTATTAAATTATCTTCCTTGGTTGGGGAACCATGATAAGAGCTTGCAAGCAGCTTGCTAGACTCCTTGTGAAATGCCTCCATTTCATATTTCGTGTAGTGTTCTCTGTGAAGCATAGAAACATGGAATGAACACTAATGACATGATATGAATATGCCGATACAAGAAATCTTAGAGATGTAGGATACACACGATGGCAAAAAAGAAATATATAGAAAAGGTCATAACATATATGACAATTTTTGTTTTTTTGTTTTTTTTTTCTTCTTTATTTATTTTTGGTGATGATTTATGTAATACTTCATAATTATAACTTTAAAATTTAACTTATGAATTCCAATAATTTGTAATGATCCTACGTCGAATACATTGCATGCACATGTACATACAAAGATATGTATATTTTTATATACAGTACACATATAATTTGATGGTTTATCTTCCTTCTCATGCCCCACTCCATTGATAAAATCTTACTGTATCATACTTCTGTTTTCAATATGGTTAAATTTTTAATAAATTTTATATAAATCATCATTTGGTTTTTTCCAATTGTACTCTCTTTGTTTGAAGGGTGTCGTATCCTGACGTCTAAGGTTTGTCGGTGACCTGTTTGTCATATTTCTGAGATTGAAATATTATTCTTTAATATTGGACAGGTCTAAAATGTGTCTGGCTCAAAGGAGTGATGGTTCCATTGCATGTTAAACATGACCGCTAACTCCTTAGAAGTGTCCTTGTTTTATAGTGTTTTCTTAAGAATTTCAGAACTATCATTGTGAATCAGTTTCTTATCATCTTGTTGATGAATAGAATTTTACATGAACATTCCATTTTTGTTCTATGGTTAGTCCGTCATAAAGGAAATGTATTACCCTTCTATAAGATTTTGAAAGCAAAAAAAGATATTTTGTTTCCATGGGAGGGTTACATATGGTCACAGGAAGTGCCTATGGGATGCTTCCTTTCATGGAAGAACTCTTCGGAAGCAAGAAGCAGAGGGTGGTTAAAGCCTTTCAAGAAAGCTGGCTTCATGATCACGATCACTATGCAGCAATCTTGGGCATCTTGTTTCCACCCAATTTCCACCATCACCATTTGTAGTGCCACACCATGACCACCACATCTTCCAGCTTGTCATCACTTCAAACATCCCAATACCTCTATCACAACAGCAGTATAACACTACGTTACTAAATGCCCAAAACTGGCCACATTATCATATGCTGCTTCTATGACCAAGCCATTGTCACCACCAGCAACCCTGCTCTAGCAGTCTGTTATCAAATGTTTCAATAATTAGTCATGCAGCTCTTATCTTTGTAGAGAACTTCTTTTGCTGTATGCAATACTGATTATTCTAAAGTTCTAAAGTATTTCAATATTCCAAATTGGCAATTCTGGAACAAAAGGCAACGTAATCATATCTCTAATACTTTACTTTCACTCCTAGGATTATTGACTTTTTTTATTTATAATTCAGTCAGGTCGGGAGTCATAGTAAAATTAGTCAAATAATCATAAAAGAAGTTGTTTTGGGTTTTGGCCTACTCAAACTGAGAGCCAAGATCTATATTTATATACAAGAATAGGGTACAAAGAAAGGAAACAAAATCAAAGAAAGATAGAAAATATGCCAAAATCTACGGGATCCCATGATTATGGGTATCTTATCTACGTGATCCCATAATTACAAGGATCTTATCTACGTGATCCCATGATTATAGTGATCTTACATAAAATATCTAATAAAAGGCTAAAAACAGCTAATAAAAATAAAAATAAAAATAATAAAGATATTTCAACACTCCCCCTCAAGCTGGAGTGAAGATATCAATCAAGCCAGCTTGGTAATCGAGGAATGAAGCAAAGATGGACCAAAAAATTTGGTGAACACATCAGCCGACTGATTAGAGGAATGAACAAAGCACAGCTTGATAATTCCCGAACGAACCTTCTCTTTGATAAAATGGATGTCCACCTCTATATATTTAGTCCTCTCGTGAAGAACAAAATCTGAAACAAGCATGATGGTTGACTTATTATCACAAAACAAGTCTGAGGATTGTTTTTCACCTAGCCCTAGCGCCTCGAAGAAAGATCGAAGCCAGAGAATCTCACAAGTACCCTGAGCCATGGCATGATACACAGTCTCTGCTGAAGATCTCGAAACTACAGGTTGTTTCTTACTTTTCCAGAATATAAGATGGTCTCTATAGAAAGTACAGAAGCCAAATGTGGAACGTCTGTTAGTCTTGGACCCAGCATAGTCTGCATCACTGAAACAGGATAGCCAACCTGTTTGCTAGAAGAATAGAATAATCCAAGTCCAGGGCAGGACTTAAGATATCGAAGAATATGATATACTGCATCCATATGAGCTGTACGAAGAGCATACATAAACTGACTCACAACACTAACCGCAAAAGCCAAATCAGGACGTGTGTTGTTAAGATAAATTAATCTTCCTACCAAGCGCTGATACTGCGAGGGATCAGAAAGGAGATCTCCAGACTCAGTTGAGATCTTCAAATTAGGATCCATAGGAGTGGAAGCAGGTTTACACTCAAGCATACCCGTGTCTTAAAGAAGATCCAAGACATACTTCCTTTGCGATAAGGAGATACCCTGCTTAGATCTAGCAACCTCAATTCTCAAGAAATATCTGAGCTGCCCAAGGTCTTTTACATCAAAAGCTTTAGCCAATTGAAGCTTTACTTGAGCAATCCCAGGGATGTCATTACCAGTAATGATGATATCATCAACATAGACAAGCAGAATGATACATCGACCATTGGAGGAACGGCGGATAAACATGTATGGTCAGAATGACATCTGACAAACTCCATGGATAGAATTACATCACTAAAGCGGCTGAACCAAGCTCTGGGAGATTGTTTTAATCCATACAAAGACTTCCGTAATCGACAGACCTTTCCAGCATACTCCCCCTCAGCCCGAAAATCGGGTAGAGGATCCATGTAAATAGTCTCAAGAAGATCACCGTTAAGGAAAGTATTCTTCACATCAAGCTGATGCAGAGGCCAATTGTGAGAGGCAGCAAGTGAGACAAGCTAACTAACTGAGGTCAATTTAGCCACAGGAGCGAAGGTATCATTAAAGTCTTTACCAGGAATCTGAGTAAACCCTTTGGCCACCAAGCGGGCTTTATACCAATCAATAGAACCATCAACTAGATATTTAACACTGAATACCCATTTGCAACCAACAGTATTTTTACCAGAAGGGAGAAATACAAGCTCCCATGTTTCATTATGCTACAAAGCATCCATTCTACCTTCATAACAGACATCCAATTGGGATTCCGGAAAGCCTCAGACAACGTTCTAGGAATGGAAATGGAATCAAGTTTGCCTAGAAAGGCTCGGTAAGACCTTGAAAGACCATCATAAGATATGTACTACGAAATAGGATGATCAGTACTACAAGCGAATCCAAATCTAGCAGGGGGTTTACGGTCTCGAGTTGGATACCGAGACTGGGGAATAGGAACAGGGTCAGGGCAATGTAAAGGAGAGAGAGATGTACCTGAACCTGAGTCTGAGGAGAATGAAGGCAGTTGAGGCGGAGCACGAGGGCGGCGTGAATAGACCTGCAAAGGGGGTGAAGAAACAACAAGAGAAGGCTCTTCTTGGAAAATAGGAAGAGGATGAGTAAGATGAGAAGCCTCTTGATCGAGATTAGAAGTTTCCTGCAAGATAGTGTTAGAACCATAAAAAGGGGAATGATTATGAAAGGTGACATTAAGAGAGTGATACATGTGTTTGTGTACTGGATCATAACACCGGTAACCTTTTGACATGGAAGAGTATCCTAAAAAGATACATTTAATGGCCTTGTCATCAAGTTTAGTACGAGAAGGGCTACGATTCTGAACAAAACATGTACATCCAAACACCCGAGGCATGATGGAAAAAAGAGTAATATCAGGCTGAAGCACTTATAAAGGGGCCTTACCATTTAATACTCTACTAGGGGTACGATTAATGAGAAAAGTAGCTGTAAGAACCGCTATGTGCCAAAATGACTTTGGCACATTCATACCACTTAAAAGACATCGAACAACTGACATTAGTTGGCGGTTTTTACGCTATGCAACACCATTTTGTTCAGGGGTATATGGGCAAGTAAGCTGATGAAGAATAGCCTGTTGGTTAAGTTGAGACCGAAACTCATTGGAAACATATTCACGACCATTGTCAGACCTAATATTCCTAACAACAATTTTATATTGAGTTTTGATCATTTGGAGGAATTGAGTGAACAAGGGAAAAACCCTCAGATTTTTTTTAAAGTAAATATACCCATGTGCAACGAAAATAATCATCAATGAATGTGACATAATAACAATGTCCCGAAAAAGCAGTAACAGGAGAAGGACCCCACACATCAGAATGTATGAGATCAAACATACTAGGTGCACGATGCATATGAGAAATATAACTGGTTCTAGTATGTTTAGAAAGCTCACTAATCTCACATTTAAACTTATTATCCTTGCAAGCCATTTTTAATGAAGGGAAAAGTAGACATAAATACTGAAAGTTTACATGCCTAAGGCGAGCATGCCATAAACTTAAAGTTTGAAAAGAAAAATCATAAGACCTCGAAAATGGAAGAACAGAGGCTTGAAGCAAGTGGAGGGGGTGTCGGTGGAGGATCTCCAAAGTAGTAAAGGCCATCGTGCTCATATCCCCTGCCAAAAATCCTTTTCGAACACAGGTCCTTTAAAACACAGTAATGAGGAAAGAAAATCACTACACAATTTAGTGATTTGGCAAGCTTGCTAACCGATAGAAGATTAAATGCAAAGTTATGAACATAAAGAACAGATGGCAAAATAATATTAGGGGATAGATGAACATTTACTTTGCTAAGAATAATGGTGGTTGACCCATCGGCTAGACTAACAGCCTGATTAACAGGGATAACGGGAGTAGAAAATAATGACAACTCACCAATTATGTGATCATTGGCTCCGGAATCCAGAACCCAAGTAGGTTTTCCCGCTTTAACATGATAAGCAGAAGGAGTACCTGTAGCTATAGTAGTCGTGGGAGTAGAATAGCCAGCCCTGGTAGATAAGGCTCCGAACTGCTCCTGAAGCTGACCAATCTGGGACTTTAACTGTTTGAAGTCCTGAAAAGATGATCTGGGAGGAGTTGAAACAGGAGGGATAACAATCTGTGGAGTAGTATATCCACCAATAGTATCGGCTATTGCTGCAGTGCGGCCACGGCTCGAAGATAAAGTGTCATTTTGGCTACTAGAATCACTCATAGTACCAAACTAAGGCTGGTCCACACGCCAGAGGGAGGAAAGAGAAAAAATAAGGCCGGAAAAATCGGCGCTTTCCACCAAAAAATAAAAACCTAAGGGAATTTTCCTAAAAAATGAGTCAAAAATAGAGGGTTACCCAAGGGGTCCGGTACAAGGGCTGGGAAGAGATGGAGGTGAGGGAAAATGGAGAAAGGGAGAGAGAAGGTGGTGGCGTTGGGGGGAGGAAGATGGGGAGGCGAAGGTTTTTGTTTTGCTCTAATACCAAAAAGAAGTTGTTTTGGGTTTTGGCCTACTCAAACTGAGAGCCAAGATCTATATTTATATACAAGAATAAGGTACAAAGAAAGGAAACCAAATCAAAGAAAGACAGAAAATATGCCAAAATCTATGAGATCCCATGATTATGGGGATCTTATCTACGGGGTCCCATAATTACAGGAATCTTATCTACGTGATCCCCTGATTATAGGGATCTTACATAAAACATCTAATAAAAGGCTAAAAACAGCTAATAAAAATAATAAAGATATTTCAACAATCATAATAGTCTAGATGTTATGACTTCCACCTCCCCTTTAGGGAGGTCGATGGTTCAAGCCTTAGGTGGGGAAAAAGGGTATGCCTCTTGCTTATGTACTAAAAAATAAAATTATAATTATAATAGAGTAATGAGCTAATAATTAGTTTACAGTAATGTATATACAGATTTACGACGTTATAGTTTTTTTTTTTTTTTTTTCCTTGAATATTATCACATGTGTTGTTAAACTTGAGACCAGACATTTTTTAAGATCAAGGTTTGTAATTCATCCATCCTACATATATAATGAATTCAATGTGCTATTAAACATTGTAATAGCATGAGTTGCCTCTGATTTTAGGTTTAGGACCTGCAGTTCCACCTCCGCGTTCTATTTTTGTTTTCTGCACTTGCACAGGTTTTGATAACTACATTCCATGATTCTTCTCAATTACTAATATATTTCTCACTGTTTCTAGTATTTTGATTGCAGGAATGTTCCCCCTCAATGCTAGTGGTACTTATAACTGCACCACCAATTGATGAGAAAGGACGTATGGCTTATGCACGGTATATTCTGTTTCAAATGTCAAAATTCAGTTGAATTTGGGTGGGGGAAGTAATGGGTTAAAGACATAAAGCCTACCGAACAAAAATAAATAAGAGCCATACCTACTTAAGAAGAGACTTGAACCTATAATTACTGCAGTTCATAAGGTGTTGACATATTGTTACCACCTGGGCTATACAAGAGCTGGTGGTGTGTTGAGTCCTCTGATGATGTTTGTCTGCTAAAATAATTATGATCTGATCATAAGCTTCTAATTTGTCAGATCTTTATATGGTGAAAAAGCAATGACACTGCCAGAAAGGACAAATGAAGTTGCAGGACTTTACGCCAAACAGTGTGTAGAGTTGGCCAAGGAACTAGGTGTTCCTTCCATCAATCTGTGGTCCAAGATGCAGGAAACAGAGGATTGGCAAAGAAAGTTCCTTAGGTCAGTAATAACTAGTCTTTAGTTTGCTAACTTGCTCCATAGTGTCAGCAGTGCTGCATGAGTTCAGTTGATTGTGCATGTAGTTGTCATACATCGGTTGAAGGACTCACTTTAAAGTTTGTCCCATATTATATTCGCATTCTTCGGAAACAAGTTTTCTAGCCACCGCTGCATTGTTCTGATTGAGTTGAAAAATGGCTTGGTCATTGAAGATACAGAATATTATCATCATTTATCAACATCATAGCTATTTTTGGTTTACCAGAGTCAAACTTGGATGTACCAATATCTACACGTTCTAAATTTCTCTGTTGTAATGTTTACAGCGATGGGTTGCACCTTACACCTGAAGGCAATGCAGTAGTCCACCAAGAAGTTGTTAGAGTTTTCAGTGAAGCATGGCTTTCTGCTTCGGAAATGCCCTATGACTTCCCTCACCACTCAGAAATTGATGGAAAGAACCCTGAGAAAGCTTTCCAGAAACAATGCTTACAATATTATGGTTTTTAGGGGGGAAAACTTTTATTTTTTCCTGTTTTGGAACTCTTCTGGTTTCTTCAAATCCCCCCCAAAAAGAGCACCTTTTGGTGATTGTGTTATCTGAATATTTCAAGGGTTAGAAGTTAGATTAGTAGATGCAGAGAGTCGAAGTTTGGCACTTCAAAGTCCACCGGAGTGCACTAACCCACTGGACTATCGAGACATCAGCATTTTTATTGCTTTATTGATGGTGGTGATACTCTATATATATTGAATATTTTATGGATCTTTGTTGCTTAATTTGTGATAAAAATTATGCATGCTCCTTTCATAATAGTCCACATTTAATTAGTTGTTGCTAGATTTACTAACCCTACCCTTTGTTACAAAACAAAATACAACTTTGTAATGGAGAACAGAATGGAATGACACATAAAGGCAAAAGTAGGAATTTTAAAATATAGTCAATAAAGTGTACATGTGTTTAATACATTATCTTAAAACGATGTATTTTTAAAAAATTGGACAATAACTTTAAAAGATAGGGAATAATATTTCTTCTTCTCTTTCTTTTTATTTTATGAAACCATAAAAATAAAAAATAAAAATGAGAGGAACAAGTTGCTGGTGGAGGGACCAAGATTTTTGCTAAATCCCAAAGCTATTCTCCTTGGGTTGATAAAAATGAGTTCAATTCAATGGATAAGTCTTGTCCTTTTTTTTTTCTTTTTTCTTTTTTCTTTTTTCTTTTTCTTTCTGGGATGGGAATTTAGCCAGAGGATATATAATAAATTCATTAGCAATGTCAGAAGCGCATATTTGATCCAATGGTCAATTAAAAATTTATAGAGTATTGTAATGGAATGTGAAATTTGCACTTTCCTTTTTTATAAATAAAAAATACCCCCAAGTTTAACGCCAAAAAGGAAAAAAGAAAAGTGCAAAATTTTGTGCAAAAGTTCTAAAAGTGGAGAGAATTATTTGAATGATAATGAACCTGTTTATTAGAAGTCACACTTAATTTATGTCAATTAAATTATGTCAATTAAAATTATGCATGAAGTTCCAATATGAAATGAATATTTTGTGAACACTGCATTCTTTTATTATGACCATCCCTTATATATATATATATATATATGTTATATATATATATATATATGTGTGTGGGAATATATTCGTGTCTCTATCTGTATTTATGCTTTTTAAGGTTTTTGCTTTAAAAACAAAGATGGTGATGAATATATCTGGAATTGGGATGTTGGAAGCAACTGAAGAACCATACTGTTAAATTTCAAATTCTACAAATATCCTTGTCTTTAAATCTCTAATATTTTGATAGAAAGAGATTATTCTGAATTTGACGTGATATTAATGTATCCCAATAAAATTTGTATGCTATAATGTATATTTTATACTAAATAATTAAAATTTATTTATTTATTTGGATTATTTTACATATTTATATGGTTGGCATTTGTTAATAGATTATAGGGTAATTTGCACCTACACCCCTCATATTTAAGGATATGTAGATATAACCTAAGGAGAGTGTGATTTAATTGCCCTCTCAAGTCTGTAAACTTGAACAACAACACCCTATAATAAGATTACTTAATTACCTTTTAACTTCTTAATTGACCCATTTAAATTATTAAAGTACAATATTAACCTTTATAGGTCCTTTTATTTGACCAAAATGACCCTTAGAAAAGCAAAAAAATAAAATTCTAACTCCACCAATGTGGCCACCAATGCCATATGCATACAGACAGGGGTGGACCCAGGAATTTTTAATTGGTAGGGAAACTAGAAACGTAAAATTAAAATTTTAAAAAACATAAAATCATTGTAAGAAATTTTTTTGTTCAAGTTTATAAATAATATGCAATAAAATTGAAGAGAAAAGTTGTCGATTGAATCATTGTTGTTGTCCAGTGAATAATTTTTTTTTTCTTTCTAATTCATAACAAAATATTTATGTATGTGTGTGAATATATGTGTGTGTAAATATAGTATGTTGTTATAAGGATTACCATAGTAATTAATCATTTTTTTTTTTTTTACTAAATTTGATTTCTATAGCAAGTGGTTTATTGGAATTTGAAGGGGTTAAAAGTAATTTCATTATTAAACTATTTTTAATATCAGGGAACCATATAGATTTTTTATAAAAAAATTAGAGAGATCAAATTTAAATTTTATATAGAAAACAACTATTAGTATCTATAATTTAGTACGAGTGTTACAAAAAATTTAGGGGGCCAACTTCAATTTTTAGGTAAAACATTACCATAAATAATTTTAATTTAATACTATAATAAGGTTTTGCAAAAAAAAAATTGTGAGGGCCATCGTGGATATTTTTTTTTTGTCGAAGGTCATTTTGGTCAAATCAAAGGACTTGTAAGATGTTAATATTTTTTGTGATTTAAATGGGTCAATTCAGAATTCAAAGGACAATTACATACTTTTATCATGTTTGGGGGCTGTGTTATTCAAGCTTGCAAACTTGAGGAGGCAATTGGATCACTCTCCCTAAATTGTATTTACCTGTCCTTATTACAAATCTGAAGGGGTGTGAGTGCAAATTACCCTAGATTATAATACCAAAAGCATAAAAAAATAAATTATTATAGTAAATCACTTCTCTTAAAAATTTTGACTTAATTACTGAGCAGTTAACATTACTTAAAATACAAATTTTACAAAATAAAATTATTAAAAATGCCCTTATGTACAACAATGAACACTTCAATAAAATTAAATAAAATAATATATATATATATATAATAAAATAAAATATAATTAAAATAAAAATAAACCCTAACACCCCCACCTGGACGCACCAAAAAGCCACTAAATTTCAGCCCTCTATCAACATTCTTCATCTAAGCATCAGCCATTGAAGTTTTTTCTTTTTCCTTTTTTTTATCACAACAATGAAAGAGGTGTGTGTATGTACATAAAAATACAGAGGAGTTATTTTGATCACTCGGTGCATACACTATATGCGCTAGTATAGAGAATGTACAAATATGACAGACTAGTCATTCGAAAGTTTATTTCCAAATTCAGTAAAATGAAGAGGAAGCCCTCAATTCCATGAGTTGACCTTTTTGCAAGTTTATGGACGAATATGTTTAGACTATTAAATACTTCTAAACACGAAAAATCGATAATACTTCGACAATAATGACCTATTAATTATGAGTATCTAAAAAATACTAATATGAATATACTCTACAACTGAGTAGTATTTTAGGTGAGAATTGTTTTTCCTTGAAAATGGAATGTGTATACGTTAGCCAAAATTGTTGAAAGCATGTCTATATAAATAGTGTCAAGTGGTTTTTTTTATTTTATTTATTTTTTTTTTTCAACTCAGGAATACATAAAATGTTTACCATAACCAAAATCGCCATATGATGTTATGAAAGTACTTTTCCTGCATAAAAACATATCTAAAAATGAATGCAGCACCGCACGATTAAAAAAATTAAACAACATTGTGTGTAAAGGATTCTCTTGCATCATCTTTTATTTGTCTTAGAGAACTTCCCATTCCTTGCCACATATCTGTCAATTTCTTCGTCGCCGTCGTCGCCTCGCCCTTTTCTTTTATACTTGCCCCCAGCTTCTTTAATTTTCTACAGAGGTTTAAGAAATTTAAAACATTTGAAAGGGATAAATCAGAAACAATGAGAAATAAGGCATAAGTTAAAAAATTACTCTACAAAAGTATTGAGGAAACATTAGTAAGGTTTCATTAGTAAGGGGTTATTAAAACAGTCATGAACAAAACTTTTGGAGGTAATCCCCTTAAATTCCAAAACAAAAGATGCATGCATAAAAAAACCAACATAAATAATAAATAAAATAAAATAAACAGTGAGCCAAGAGAACAAACAAACGGTTCTTCTACTTTGCAGGACACAGTCATACTATTGAGGCCAAAAGCCGAAGGTTTCCTTAGATAACTTTACACAATCTATTTATTTCCATCCCAAATAGAACTGTACAACCCACAACAGCAAACACCAAATTTTTCCTCCACGCGTAAAGGAAATTCACGCACAAGTTCTAATAACATTTTTGTTGGAATTTTGAGGTTTTAGAAGAGAACAGAACTGTGCCACAAAAGTGAATGTAAAATTAGAAAATTTGATTCGTTCAAAAGATCATTTCCACTTCCTTCCGGTTATTTTTACACTCATTAGGGAACATTTGAAGGTGGGGTTGGCTGGTGCACAAGTAATCCCATGTCAAATTAGAACTCACACTTGTGCAGCAACAGGATTTCCATGAAAGATATGCTTTTGTCACAAACATTATCTTTGCATCGTGAATTAACTTGCAATATTATTGATACATAAGAACGTACATGTCCTACCAGAGACATGAGGACTCAAATAGTCAACATGTCAGAAGTTTATAATAGCTGACTAAATTGTTATGAATTTTATGATACAATTTTTAAATATTGAACTTGTAAAGCAGTAAGCCACTGATGCCTTATCCCAAGGACTTGATGCTAGCCTCTGAGATGTTTTGTTTCTAGTATTATATTTCTGTAAAGTACACAGCCAGATCTAGTGCAATAACAGTTCAAAATGGCATTATGATGGATGTCATAGAAACCATGATTAGCACTATGTAATTGCCAACCTAACAGAGGACATTACCAAACTGCAAAGTTTGTGGCTTCAATACAAGTTCATCAGTTCGTAAGGCTAGATCAATATATTAGAAAGTGAAATTTATCCACTAACCCATGCATAAACAAGGAGATTGATTTGTTAAATCCACATTGCTAGAACTAAAACGATTGGTTTTGGTTGTGCAAAAAATAAACAAACATAACTTAATATAACAATGAAAAGTTTAAAATTAATACCATCAGGGATATTCTTTTGGCCTCCATTACCCGTTCCAATAGTAGCAGAACTTCTTCTTTTTGAGCTGGAAAATCAGGTAATTTTTTACCTGAAACACAAATAAGATGTTAGTCTTAGGAACACTTCCCCAGTATAGATTATCACGCTAGTATGGTTGAAGTTGCCTACCAATAAGCTTCTCTATCTGTGCATACCATTCCAACTCATACTGATTCACCAAAGAGATTGCAACACCAGACCGTCCTGCCCGAGCAGTTCTTCCAACTCGATGTATATAATCCTATAGGCCATTCCATGGATAGGCAAATTCAGGTGAGTCATATTAAGCAAGAATTACTAAATTCTTTCCACAAATTGTTGTCTGAGGTAAAACTAAGATAAAACGTTGATTTTCATTGATGTTTATTGTTTACATATATATATATATATAGAGAGAGAGAGAGAGAGAGAGAGATTCTCTTATCTAAATAAATCAGATATAAGATGTACAATCCAGGTGTCAGTTTAAATATTATCAACGCCTGTGATGAATAATCCATAGATCAATTAAGCATGATACAATCTGGTTATATATTACAATCGAAAAGCCACTAGCTGTCAAAAACTCAAATATATATAAATATATATTATTCACCAATGGGACCCTGAATGTACAAGGTAAGTTTAATTGTTTAGGAGGTCTCTAGATCTTTTTATTGCTAACCTAAAAAAGGTGAAAAACAGCAGAATTCACAAACAAAAACAGGACTAAAACCTGAAACCCAAACTGCAGAAGGGAACACTCATAAAGACTCCAGAAAAGGAGCAAAGGATTTGGCCTGAAAATACATGTCAAAACATGCATTTTGACAAAACATTGGAAGAAAGTCTAACCTTTGAATTCGATGGAATATCATAATTGATGACCATATCCACAGATGGAATATCAAGTCCTCTACTGGCAACATCGGTGCAGATAAGAATATTACACTCTCCTGCCTTGAACTTGTTTAAGGCTCCAAGTCTTTTGGCCTGCAACACATTTTTCATGGACATGAGGATGAATTTAGGATAACAGAAAAGAGCAACTAAAATGACTAGATATGAAGTAAGCGTATAACGAAAACCATGCAGAGGTTCTAGGTCAAATCTACCAAAGAAGACAAATGTATACCTGGGTCATTTGACCACTAATTGGAATGGCCCTTAAACCAAGGTTTCGAAGGATTAGAGCTAAAAGACGAGTTGAATCGCATGTCCGAGTGAAAACCATTGACGTACTTCCAGACATCTCGGTCAGTATGTATACAAGATAGCAATCCTGTAGCCAATGAAATATATGAATTTAGCACTAAACAAACATACTACTCAATGAAATTGTGATATCTATCATGAAGGCAAAATTTGCTTCAACTCTTTATTTAAATGCATGTTTGGGACCCAAAACTAACTACTCTACCAGTTGGTTACAAGAATTTTTAAAGGGTGTAACGCACACAAACAAACACATATTCCCTTCAGGAAAGTGGAAAGTTATTAAACCTTGAGCCAAAAGCCAGATCCTTTATATATCGTGTTTTTTTTTTTCAGAATTAAGCCATTTCTAAACACTAATGTCCTGAGGCTTACTTGTTGCCAGCAGTGTGCGGCTTTTGTTTGTTTGTGCTGGAGGTGGGGATGGGGCCAGAAAACAACTGCAACCTTATAAACAACAAAGGGGATTTTCATCACCCAAATTATTCTTTTACTTTTTTACTGAATTGTTTTACTTGTAAAATCTGGCAATTCAACACATCCGATAATCTTGCTAAAACATTAATCTTGTTCAATTTATCCAATAATATTTTTTTTAAAAGTATTACTTTATGTGAATACCTTTCAAACCTCTACTGTACTGTGAAAACTTTCACTATCTGTGCTTAATTATCTATTAGGAGAACAAGATTGGAGATATGTTTGTTAATACCATTAGTATTAGGAGTTAAGGAATAATTCTAGTATATTATGTGATCAACATATACCTACATAGCTGGAAAAAAATCTAAAAAATAACTACAAGATCCAATGTGTTTCATGGAACAAAATTTGGTTGACTAACTTTCTTGAACTGCCTCAAAATAACCATGATAAACGGAGTAATACACAATTTGAAATTTTTTACCTATAAAGTATCCCATAACAGATCGTCAGAATCATTAAAGTTTCATTTCAATTTGGGTAACTAGCACCAATAACCAACTGCATTACCAGGCATTCAGAATTAGACTCATGCTAAAATCTTTAAGGCTCAGTTTGATTAGGTGGAATATTTTTTTTTTTGATAAGTAAAAATATATTGGAAAGACGTTCAAAAAGGGAAAGCAGTTTGATTAGGTGGAAATAGTGGGAAAGGAAAAGAAACGGAATTTTTTTGAACTTTTTAAGAGTTTGGATGGAAGGAAAAGGAAAATTTTGTGGGAAAGTAACTTTTCATAACCACCTAACTTTCCTACAAAAAACGCAGGAAAATTTTGCTTTCTTGAGAAAAACATATGAAATTTCATTTATACCCCTCTTTTTACTTTCTAAAATAAAATGTGTTTAAGCATAACTTTTACAATAATAATATAATAATTATATCCCTCTAGGTGTCCTACAATTTTTTTGCTTAGAATATTCTTATATTGCTTTTATTCTAAACAAATATATATATATATCAAATATAAATTTATTTAGACCTATTGCCATATTTTATAAAAATTGGGGCAATTTCGGTAAATCGTAATATTTTCTATTTTCATGATATCCAATGGTCCAGTAGGAGCCTCCTTCCCTCCATAACGCATAGATAGGAAGGTTCGCTCGGTTAGCTGATGAGCTTAAGTAGCCTGGAAGTCAGTGTGTGGTGGCGAGTTTCTTCGTTTAATCATCCATCTGACCGAAGGAAGCGGTAAGCCGATAGACTCACTAGTTTACGATGTCGAACCCTCATAGAGACGACCTATCTCTAATCTTAAGGTAGGAGGTACTATGAAATGAGACTTTCTCACAATTTTCTTTAAAAAAATTAATGCTAACCAAATCAATCCTAGAAATTTTATTTTCTTTCTTTCACTTTCACTTTCCAGTATTGATTTCCATCTAACCAAACGGACCCAAACAGTATTGTGATGCCATGGAAGAAGGAAACCTTGTGCTTTGCAGGGATAAAGCAATACTGCTGCTTCAGTGTATCAACAGTTGAATATTTAGATGCAGACTCGATCTGAAAGCATAAATAAATTGGCATTAGTTACAGATTCAAAAATAAGAAAAAAGAAATGTGTTAGTAAGTTTTCTTTATCATACCTTCACAGGATTCCTCAAACAGGCCCTTTGGAGCTTTTTCACCTGCATTAATGGAAATGTAATTTGGTTAGAAATTCAGCCCTTTACTACAATTTTCTTCTTTCACAATAATTTACCCATGTTTTTTTAATTAAAATACAAGTATTGATACGATCTCTGGTTTGGAGAGTGGAAGGTCTTATTCTGAAGAGGAAGTGTTGAAGGCACTGAAGAGCTGCAATGCGGACAAAGCACCAGGGCCAGATGGTTTCACTATGAGATTCCTCCTTGAGAGCTGGGAAGTAGTTAGAGGGGAGGTGATGGGAAAGGTTTGAATGCCACGTTCATTATGCTCATTCCTAATTAGGTGGGGGAGGAGGGGGGGAAGAGTGAAAAAGCTATTTGAATGAAAAATGCTAGGTTTCGGTGATATGCTAGTGGCGGTTTCGACCTATTAGTTTGGTGGGATGCATCTACAAATTAATAGCTAAAGTCCCTGCTTTGAGATTGAGGGATGTTTTGGATGGGGTGATTTTGGATTCCCAAAACGCTTTTGTTGGAGGCTGTCAGATTTTAGATTTTGTCCTTATTGTGGAGGAGTGTGTGGATTCTAGACTCAGTAATGGGATTCCTGGTGTTTTGTGCAAGCTGGACATTGACAAAGCTTACGATCATATAAGTTGGAGATTTCTTCTCTAGTTATTGGAGAGAATGGGGTTTGATGAGAAATGGAGGAGATGGATAGAGTTTTGCATTTCAAGTGTTCACTTTTCGGTTCTTGTGAATGGATCTCCGACAGGTTTCTTCAATAGTTCGAGGGGCCTAAGGCAGGGGGGATCCGCTTTATCATTTTTTGTTCCTCGTGGTGACGGAGGCCCTTAGTAGAATGATGAGAAGAGTTTTGGATATGGGGTACCTACTTGGTTTTCAGGTGGGTCGAGATGCTTCTAGTCAGTTGAAGATTTCCCATTTGATGTTTGCCGATGATTGTGATGCAGATGAGTCTCTCGGATGAGGTTTTTGAGATGTGTTCTAATTTGGTTTCAAGTGGTCTCTGGCTTGAAGGTAAACGTGGGAAAGAGTGTTATGGTTCCTATCGGGGAAGTTCCTGAGATTTCTAGGTTGCAGTATTGGTTCTTTTCCTTTATCATTTGGGGTTGCCTCTTGGGATATCATCGAGGAGAGAGAGATGTTGGGAACCCGTGGTGGAGAGGTTTAAAAGGAGGCTGGCAGGGAAGAAGCAGATCCTTCCAAAATTTGGGAGGGTCACTTTGATGAAGAGTGCTTTGTCGAGCCTTCCAACTTACTTCCTCTCTCTTTTTCAGAGTTGAGAGAATTGAAAGGTGGTAACAAATTTTCCTTTGGGGTGGAATGGGAGAGGAATTCAATTATCATTTGGTTGGTTGGGATCAAATGTGCAGCCCAACCCGGATTAGAGGTTTGGGAATTAGAAGATTGTTGCCTTTCAATAAGGCCCTTTTTGGGAAGTAGTTATGGAGATTTGGGGTGGAGAGACACAAACTTTGGAGGAGGGTGGTAGCATGCAAATTTGGGATGGAGATTTGGGGTGGAGAGACACAGACTTTGGAGGAGGGTGGTCGCATGCAAATTTGGGGAGGCGAGAGGTGGATGGTGCTCCAATGCTCCACTAAGGTGAGAATCCCAAATGATGTTGGGATTTGGAAATTTATTCGGAAGTGGTGAGATGAATTCTATAAACACATTAGATTTCAAGTTGGGGATGGGAGGGGATCTGTTTTTGGGAGGACATTTGGTGTGGCGATTGTTCTCTTGCTCACTTTTCCCGGACTCTTCAGGATTGCAATGGATAGACAGACTCTGGTGATTGATTGTTATTGCCTCGCTAGCAGGAGAACGTTCTGGGATGTGCATTTTTTGATGCATTTTCAGGATTGGGAGGTTGGGGATGCCATTGTTTTTTTGGAATTGTTGTACTGTCGGGAGATTGTGGTTGGTGTCTCTGACTCTTGGGTGTGAGTTCCTTCTTCCCAAGGGCACTTTGATGTTCGATCTCTTTACAAGTGTATTACGGATGCCTAGAGGATCCCTTCCTGTAGAAGGCCATCCAGTGCTTTAAGGACCCCCTCAAAGTGGCTTTCTTTGCGTGGACTGCAGTGTTGGGGAAGATCTTAACCCAAGATAACTTGAGGAGGAGTAGACAGGCTGTGGTCAATTGACGCTACATGTGCAAGAGAGATGAGAAGATGGTTGATCACCTTCTTTTGCATTGCCCAGTGGCTAGGGATGGCAAATTCCCCATCCCCGCCGAGTCCCCGCCCCGCCCCGCCCCGCCCAGTTTAGTTTATAGCGGGGATGAGGATCCTTTTATGTAACGGGGATGGGGATGGGTGGTAAATTTTGAAAACCCGCCGGGGGCATGGGCGGGGAGGGGGAATGGGTAAACCCGTCCCGCCCCGCCCCGATTAAGTGTGATGTTTTTTTAAAAAATATATATATGTTAATCGGGGCCGGGGCCGGGTATGGGGGTGGTGGTGAAATTTTAAGCAGGGATGGGGACCGGGATGGGGATTGAAAAATTCAGCAGGGATGGGGATGGGGAATGAGATCACCGCCCCGCCCCGCCCCATTGCCATCCCTACCAGTGGCTCAGGATTGCCGGTTTTGTTAATGGGTTTGTTCGGGGTTTAATGGGTCATACCCTGTTCATCCAGATACTTGATTGCAGCTTGGAGGTGTTTTATAGTGGAGGCCCAAATTCGTGATTTCTGGAGGGCCGCACCTGTACATCTGGTGGTGTTTATGGCTTGTAAGAAATAGGAGATCCTTTGAGGGGAAGAGAATCCTATTGGGGCGTTGAAGTCCTCTATTGTTGGCACTATTTTTTGTCGGGTTCTAGGAAGAAATTGCAAATCCATGGAGGAGATTGTTGATTTTTTTTTTTTTGGTTGGGGGGGGGGGGGGGGGGGGGGTCCTACTTGAGAGTTTAGCGGCCCTATTAGGCCTTGTGTATTTTTTGAGGGATGTGTTCCCCTTTTGAAGGCTTCTTTTATGCAATTTTTACTTATCAAAATATATTTATACACAAGAGGGCATTAAAACATGAGCACTTAATAAGGTATCTTAACTGCTTCTATGATTCTATCAGATCAAATTACAATACCATCGGCTCAATTACTGATGCAGTAATGCATGACTAAAATATTTCTTCACATTTTTTTTTTTTTTCCATTTTCCCAGTGCAAGTGTGTCAAGCTCTTATTTCTACTGCAAATCTGTGACATACTTCTTATATCCCGTGTATTTTTCTACTGCACAAGTTAATGATTTACTGAAGGATGGATACAAAAAGTAGAAACAGCTGGCATGTTAGATCATTTGAAATATGAAATGCTTCCTGAGACACTCGCTGCATCTTCTTGCCGTGCCGCTAATGTAGGCACCCTACGAGATCACATATGCTAGCGCTAAGCTCAAGTAAGGAACATGGTAAGAGTAGAAGGTGACATGAATAATTGGTATACATAGTATTATTCATCCCGTGAAGTATGGTATAGAAGAGTGGGAACATAATTACACCAAGCTTTATAAGAAAGAATACATAAGATATAAAGTAGTGGAAGACTTTGCCTGTACAAAGGAAAAAGTAGATACCAAAGGATCAATATATACAGAACCACAAAATATAAGATTTAGAATATCATGAATTTGAAGGGCCCCGACAGTAACATTAATACTTCACGTTTGTTGGCGAAAAGTAGTAAGATAAGGACCACGGGGTGTCTTTTCATAGTTGGACTAGCAGTCTCTATATAATTTCTGTCCACAATCGAGTTGACAGGAATGATTTACAAAGGGTTAATTGAAGTTCGCAAGCCTGAGCAACTTGCTTGCTGTTGATTTATTTATTTATTTTTATGTGTGTTTGTATATTGGGAGCCAAGGCCAACTGACCATCCTGACCCAGCTTGAGGGAAGACTTCTACATCCAGGCTCCAACTCTACGCACGCCTTAAAGGGCTGAAGTGACACATTTATTTTCCAAGGTTTTGAAGATGTGCTAGTTACCAGCTTGCCTCTTACAAAACTACAATTATTTTGTACATAAGAACTTGATTCCTAATTGTTTAAAAACACTGCCAGTGATCCAAACATTCAAGTTATAGTAAGCAGTATGGCCTATCTCATAAATAAACAAGGATTCATCTCCAATAGAGTCAGCTTTAAGGCACCCAAACCAATTTTTTACAAACACTAACTGGTGTAATGGATACCAGAGACCTGTGACACGGATCGAGAAACACAATTATAACACATATGTGAATGATTGGGTGCATAATGACACTTTTTAAGGATGCAGGGAACAACTTCTAGGTCAATTAAGGATAAATGTTGCAAGTTCATGGGCAAGGATAAGGTGGGGTTAATAGAGAAATTCATAGACTTAGGTGAACTAGGAGATCAATAAAGAGAATACCAATGATGATAGAGACATACCGAGAAACGGCAGAATTTCATATGGTACAACTCATATCTTGAACAAAGTGAAAATATGTGATCTTTGGTGTTTAACAGAACAAACGTGAATAACTTCATCAAGTCGGCCAAGATCAAATCTGTTTATCAAATTGCTTCCCAATAGCTCAAGACATCTCTTTTCAACCAAAATATTCCATCAAAAATGGAAAAAAGTGGCAGGGGATCTCTATATATGTGATGACTTTTATGCCAAAAAGAACAAGCTTTAGGGATTTTTAGAGATTCCTTTTTTTTTTTTTTTTTTTTTTTTTTTTTGAAAAATACAATTTCAGAAACAAGTTTCCCTAGAACTTTAACAATTCAATTTGTGTGTGTGTGTGTCTGGTGGGGTTGGGAAGGAAGCAGCAAGCCTCATCACTCAGAAAGAACTGAGTACAAAATAGTTATAAACCCATTCCTAGTTTTTTAATTGATATCCGACAGAGTGAGAACTATTGAATTGGAAAACAGATAGATCATTCATCAATATATTCATTTGCTACTTTTTGCGAAGGTATCAAGTGCAAGACAATCTTGAACTTATAAAAGTAAATAAACAAATGACACAACAATCAACTAAAAAATGATAAATGAACTTCTGAATACATGAAGATATACTCAAACATGTACCTTTTTTGTCATAGTAGCAGAAAATAAATATGTCCTTCTCTCACGAGGAATGACATTCAAAATTTCATCAATCGCTTTCTCAAAATCTTCATTTAGTAACCTGTCCGCCTCATCTAGTACCTGCCAAGCATACACACAGGTCATATAACTATGTGCGGAACAAGTCACCTCGTATGTAATGTAAACATGTAAAAAGCACTTCCATATTTCAGTATTTCCCCACTGTTTTCAACACACTTAAGATTTTTTTTTCTTAGTTAGTACTCACACACACGTCTCCACTGAGGCTTGAACCCCTAACCTCTATTTGATCATAACTGGTTGACTTGCAAAATGTCTGGGCCAGATCAGCCACATAGCATGACATAACCCAAGACACGCCAGATTTCGTGAGACATTGCAATTTAGCCACTCAAATACCAACCCATCATTTCCCTCATTCTTTCTCCTGCTTTTCTACATTCAATCCAAATACACCCAAGACTAAACTTTGCTATCTACATTCCTACATCAAAACATCAATTCATCTTAACATGTTTTGGGGTTCAGAAAAAATCACAGTTGAATTTGTTCAACCATAAAAATTAGGTCCACGTTTCTTTTGTTTGTTCTACCATATAAGCAATATCTTCAACCTTTTTCCACATATGTTTTGAATTTGATTATGTATAAACATTGATGATACATTTTTTAGTCATTTTTACTTCTTGTCGATCAAGGTAAGCTGATCTAAAGTTATTGTAGCAGCACGTGTTAATCTTTTAGGAAATTTTACATTTTACATGTGTTAAATGGTACTTTTTTTTAATTTATCTTAAATCGATATACTATATTGTTTTATTCTTTTTCATGATTTTTTTAGTTTGTGTCAAATATTGTAACAATATTATTGTGTCACTACTAGCGTTGTAACAATATTATCGTGTATCTCCTAATATGAAACCAATAGGTTGCATTTGAATTGTCCCATTTCCTCTTAAGCCAGTGACAAATATACTGCAACTTTGATTGACTTTAAGTAGCGAATAGGGCACACATAGCAGTGTTTATGAATATCCTGTGTTGGAAATAATATTAAAAAAAAAAGAGAAGCCTGTTTCTATGCTTAAGTTCTCTGTTATTTGTACTCTTTTTTGTTGGGTTTCAGGAAGAGATTATAGATCTACGGAGGAAATTATTGTTTTTTTGGCCTCTCTGAAGGTCTAAGGCGCCCTTTAGCCTTTTGTTTTGTATCTTTCGTTTCCGCTCCCCTTTTTGAGCGTTTTTAATATATTCTTACTTATCAAAAAAAAATAATATTAAAAAAAATAAAAAAATAAAAAAAAAACTCACATCAGCATATGAGAAAAACTTACCAAGTATTTTAGCATGCGAAGAGAGAAACCCTTAGTATTGGACAGATGATCCACAAGGCGTCCAGGAGTTGCCACCTAAAATGAAGCCCCAAAGCAAAATGACAACAAAAAATAAACAACCAACTGAAAGTCAACCAAAATAAACTAGCAAAGCAAAATCAATGATGGTAACTAATTATTTTTTTTTATTTTTTTTTTTTTTTGTATTTTGTTGAAGGTTCAAAGGTAAACACATCATGTTGTAACAGTCTAACTTCAGCCTTGAGTTGAGTAGCTTCAGATGGTAAATCTTGAATTGTAACTTCCTTCTGTTTTTGCTTATCAGGACGAGATAAAATTTCTATGAGGTTGTAAGAAGCTAGGTCTGGTTTGATAGGTTCTTAGATGAACAAATTTGTAAGATCATTCATATTTTTCATTAGGATATTGTATATTATCTATCATATTAAGTAGTGCTTGTTTTTTGTCCCTTGTTAAGACATTGATGCTTTCCATTTAATATATTTGTGCTTCAAATAATTATTCAAATGAATTTTGGTTGAAGTTTTAAAAATAAAAACATCATGTTCTAACTGTCTAACTTCAGCCTTGAGTTGAGCAACTTTGGATTGTAAATCTCGAATTGTAACTTCCTTCTGTTTTTTGCTTATCAAAATGAGAGAAAATTTCTTTAAGGTTGTAAGAAGCTAGGTCTGGTTTGACAGGTTCTTAGATAAACAAATTTTTGAGTTTCACTAAATGTTCATATTTTTCAGTAGGATCTTTTATATAATATCATGTTAAGTAGTGCTTGTTTTTCATCCCTTGTTAAGACATTGATGCTTTCCATGTAATATACTTGTGCTTCAAAAAACTTTTCAATAGAATTTTCTACATGATCTATCTCTTGATTGGATGATTCAGAAGAATCACTATTTGAAAGAATGTCTTCTTCTTGGATTTCATTAAGTTCTATTCCAAAATCAGAACATTCACAACATTCGCTACAACAGTCTATATCTTGTAGACAATTGATTAATAGTTCTTTTGTTTCTTTCAGAATTTATTTAGTCTTTAGTCTTTAGTTTATTTTTTTCTTAACATTGCAATGAGTCTTATAATGGCCTTTCTGTCCACATTTGTAACAAGTTAAGGAGTTTTTGAAGATTTAGTATATTTCCGCTTATATTATTTAGACTTTTTTTTAGAATAGTTTTGTTTTGGAGTTGAAGATTTAATGGGTCGATAACCAAATTGTTTATAGATGGATCCTAAGAAGGATAAAGGTAAGAGATTGGCAGGTTGGAAGAAGCAATATTTGTCTAAGGGGGGTAAAGTTACTCTTATAAAGAGCACTTTATCGAGCCTACCCACATATTTTTTATCCATGTTCCATATTCCATGCTCCGTTGCTGATAGGATTGAAAAAATTCAAAGGGACTTCCTGTGGGGCAGAAGAGGAGATGCGTTTAAGTATCACCTTGTCAAATGGGAGTAAGTTTGCAAGCCTATGTAGTTAGGGGGTCTTGGAATTAGAAGACTAGTTGCTTTTAATCAAGCTCTCTTGGGCAAATGGTTGTGGAGATTTGGGAGGGAAAGACATCGTCCCTGGCGAAGGTTAGTCTCATGCCGGTTTGGGGAAGAGATTAGTGGCTGGTCTACTAGTCCGGTTACCCTTGTGGGAGGAGTTGGCATGTGGAAATCCATTCGGAAGGGATGGGACGTCTTCTCTTCTCATATTAGATTCAAAGTCCGTGATGGCAAATGTGTTCATTTTTGGGAAGATCTTTGGTGTGGTGATCACCCACTATCTCGTACATTTCCTAGACTTTATAGTATTGCAGTTGATAGGCATGCCTACGTAACTGACTGTTATCGACTTGATAGCAGTGGGATTGCGTGGCATGTGCACTTTCAACGTTCCTTTCAGGATTGGGAGTAGAATGAGGTTTGTGTCTTCCTAGATCAGTTGTATCGGCAGGTAGGAGTAGGCAGAGGAAGTGACGATCTGATATGGATTCCATCTTCCCATGGCCGCTTTGAAGTGCGATCTTTATTCCTATGTTTATCTAATTTTGATCACCTTGACTTTCTGTGGAAGACCATTTAGCGCTCTATGGCTCCAACTCGGGTGGCATTTTTTGTATGGACCGCTGTTTGGGGTAAGATTCTGACGATTGATAATTTGAGGAAAAGGGGGGATTGATTTGTCAATTGGTGTTGCCTATGCAATTAAGATGGTGAGTCAATTGATCATATTCTCATGCATTGCCCCATGGCGCACAACTGTTGGAATCTTATTCTTGGGTTGTTTGGCATGCGAATTCCACATTCTTCTAAGGAGTTGATTCATGCTTGGAGAGAATGTCGTGTGCGGAGAGATGTGCGTGATTACTGGAGAGTCGTTCCACATTGCGTTTGGTGGTGCATCTGGAAGGAGAGAAATAACAGAATGTTCGAAGGGAATGAGTCATCTACGGTGACGCTGAAACTTTTTATTATTCGCTCTCTTTTTAATTATGTCAAGAGGAGTTCTTGCTCCTCTTCCGATGATTTAATTACTTTCTTGGATTCATTGGGGCCTTAGTCTCGATTCCAATCTTGTAATTGGGACGTGTTCCCCTTTTGAACGCCTTTTTATTTAATTTTTACTTATCAAAAAAACAAGGATAAAGGTCATCTTTTCTGGAAACAATGTCGTCCTTCTAAAATTTTTATCAATAAGTAACATGGTTTAGTTTAAGTCAAGATATTAACGGCATTATCCCAATATAGCTGAAATTTGTTTGAACTTTTTTTTTTTTTTGACAAGTAAATTTGTTTGTACATTTCAGCAGTAATACTTCAAATCTGGATAGTATAATAACTAATAAGTGTGACAACATGTACAGTATATCAGGTACATGTTTTGTAGCTGCAGTCCACTACGAAAAAAAGACATCAAAAAATAAATGAATAAAAAAAGGCATGTTGACACAACTATCCAACCATCCATACTTTAAAAGAAAATTTAGAGAACACTTACAACAATGTGTGGTCGTTTTCCTAAGGCAATGCCCTGTTGCACAATGTCTATCCCTCCAACAAGCTGGAAAAATGATAGCAGAAACCACTTATTGACGTGTTTAGATCAGCTTAAACGGGGAGGGAGAGAGAGAGAGAGAGAGAGAGAAGAAAAAGAAAAGAAAAGAAAAAAAAAAAAAACGAACATGAGACTTTCCTTTCAACCATTATCTGGTAGACAATAGAACACATTATCCTTCAAGAGAAGCATCATATATTAATAACGTCCAAAGATATATAAGGCATTTAATTGATTCTAAATGGTTTTTATGCCCCTATTCTTATACTTTCAGAAACTCTACCCTTGGTTGTCCTAAGGAAGAAGATATCTAGTATCACTGATTCTTACCTCCAATGCACTCATATCACGCACATATTGGACTAAATGTGCACTATTACAGGAATGCTTTCCTTAATCAAGAATTTTGTTTAACAAAATATTAACATGCTTCAAAAAGAAATTACAATTGAAGAATTTGGTTGTTGTTTGTTACAATCCAGCATTTATTGGGAAGGCAGGCTTCTGAAATCAGTAACATGCAAGTGCTCGCAAAGAAAAGTTGGTTTGATCATTTACTGGCATTGAACCACCTCATATAAAGTATCCCCAAAGAAATAAACAACTATGTTATATGGAACGGAGTGTTGGGCCCTAAAACAGAAACAAGAGCAATGCCTTCATGTAGTGGAAATGAGAATGCTAAGATGGATGAGTGGAGTGGCTAGGAGGGATAGGGTCACAATGAGAGCATGTGGGAGTGTGAGAAATAAATTAGGGGTGGCTCCCATTAGTGAAAAAACTAGAGAGAGTAGACTTAGATGGTGTGGAAACCTACATCGGAGACCTAGAGACGCGCCAGTCAAGCAAGAAAGACCAGTTGTAATAGAAGGTAAGAGATGGAGTGGGCTACCAAAAATAACATGCAATGAGGTTACTAAAAATGATTTTAAAAAGCTAAATATAGTAGGCAAAACGGCATGTGATAGGAAGGACTATAGAAAGAGATTTCATATGGCCGACCCCATTCACATGGAATTAAGGCAAGGATGATGTCGATGGCAATGGCGACGAAAGAAATAAACAACAGAGAAAACAAATGCACTTAGTTGCAGGGGTAACAGGTGACTAGACAACAGCACAGAACCTTAATGAAGGATCCAAGGTTCACTAAACCAGAATTTCATGTTGTCTATCCACGCACATATATACAATCAAAATAACAAGTTTCTAACCATCAAAAGTCAAACAATCAAAAACTTAGCCAGTCCTTTTGGTAAATAAGATGCCCATTAGGCAGTCTTGCTACATGGGCAAATCCAACTCCATGTCTTTAATGCTTTCTCTAGTCTGCTAAAGAAGTTTTATCCAGCACGAGATCCTTGCAGAAGTTTCCAAATATACATTAGATATACAAGGATTTTGTCACCAAGGTGCACTTCGCTTATGCAACAAATTATGCACATTAAAGGCTCCTCTCCAGACTTCAATCCAGAGATTGTGGTTCCAAACCAATGCAAAAGAGAGTCTGAAACAATTAATTTGAGTCTATTGCTGCATATTATAATTCACCTCATTCCTATCATTTAATCATAAAAAATATATCTATCACAACTTGAACTTGTTTAACCTTCCTTTCGCAAAGCATGTGAAGATCGAAAGTTATGGTAAAGGAGAATTCCAGAATTTCCCTTGTAATATGAAAAAAATTAACTACCTTTAGCAAAATACTCAATCTAATCTAGTAGGCAATTTTGTAAACTGCTACTCAAAAAATAAGAAGTGTTAATTACTACACTTTAGAGTGCTTGAGGCCAAAAGTCTGAAACGAGGACAAAAACAATAAATTGACCTTTCAACATAAGGCTACAACCTAATTAACATAAAATACAATGCAATGCAATAATAAGTGAAATATGACATGAGGAAGACTGTGAACCCTGAAATTTGAAGATATATGCACACACATATATTTATATGGAATAAATTGGCAGATAGCTCACCACTGCACACTTTACACCAATGCCAGATCCTAAAGCTTCAAATTGCTCAGCGATCTGAATAGCAAGTTCTCTAGAATAAGGGGGAAAACAATGAATGACATAAAGCACGGCAAAATCCAGATAAAATCCAATTACAACAAAAGATGTACAAATATTAATTTTCTTCTCAAACTCAAACCAACAAATCAGATGTCAAACCGTGTTGGAGAGAGCACACATGCAAAGAACGCCCGTGGGGTTTCTAAAAGGGCTTGAAGTATAGGGAGTGCAAAAGCTCCAGTTTTACCGGAACCAGTCTGTGCAAGTCCTATCAGGTCCTTTCCTAAATCACAAAATCCATGGAATAGAACCAGCATGTCAAACATACACCCCAAAATGAATAATGTCCCATAAAGTACGGATGACTCCAATTAAGAGGATGAATTTAAAAAGAAAATAGTAATCATTTAGATACTAGAAATAAGCTAAAAAGGAGACTGCTTGTGAAAAACAAAATATAAATAAGAAATATCAGTATTGCAGATGAAGAAATAAAGAGAATGGACCTTCCAATGCATGAGGAATAGATTCAGCCTGTATCTTGGATGGGTTTTTCCAGCCCAAACTATCACAAGCTTCCACCAATTGCTCACATACTCCCAGATCTTTAAATGACTTGCCCACTTCTGTGTCTTCTGCCATCCTTTTCTGTATATCTACCAAAAAAATAAAAGACATCAAATCAAGTTAAAAGACAAAGTAAAACCCAAATGATGCAAAAGCATTTCTATGAAAATGGTAAAACTGAAATAAATAAAAATAAAAAATAAAAAGAAAGAAATGTACTGAAACCAAAATCGTCTTCAACAAACACATATCCATATCCAAACTATTCTTGAAATAATCATTTTCATGGTGTTACCATTGTATTCAATGCCCATTCCACTAATTTCTAATCGCTGTCCTGTACAGATTTCACTACCCTTTAAATTATCAGCAGACAAAAGTAAACAGTGACAATTACTTGAAGCATGGCTTATGAAGAGACAGGGAGGGTATCATAAGGTTTCCATGTTCAACAGTAGATAGGTCTTCATTCTCAATGGTCCCATGTATCTAAAATTAAATTTCTTTCACTTTTCCTTCCTTTCTCATCAAACAAATAGATTATACCCCTAAGGTTACTAGCTCAAGCTATATTTACTTTGTTAGTTTTCCAGATGGTGAAAAACTCAACTCAACTTAGATTGGTTCTAGAAAACAAAAAATATTTTTTCAGGCTCAGTTGAGTAAGTTTTGTTTCCTAGAGACCAAACAATCAAGTCTGAAATTAAAAATAAAAAAATAAAAAAACTTCCTTTTCATACCTTTTTTCCTCAGAAACCAAACAGAGTAAGGGATTTCGAAGCACTGAAGAACAAGAAGAAGAATGAATGCTGAAGGCAGCTCCCAAGTTCCAACAACGGCAACGATGGAATCAATTCGTCAGCTCTTCGTAGCGGCAAGGGCTCTGAACTTCTGACTTGTGCCGCGTTAATAATAGGGTTAGTTGGGAACGGGTTTGGACCGGGTTAAGATGAGTAGGTCAAAACGGGTTGTGACCCATATTATAAATAAAAAATAAAAAAACTTTTTTTTTCCTCACTCTTTTAAAAAATAAAAATAAAAATTATTACTACGTACTTTAGACTTATTAATACCACTATCGTATTCTTGTCAAATAAAAGTAAAAGATTAATTAGTTATCTTTTCTTTGATATTTAAAATTAAATCCAAGTTGGTACTGAATTGAGGCCTTTTAGGCCACAATAAATACTAAATGCAATAAAAATACAAAAATTTAAAATTTTTAATAAGTTTAGGTAGTTGGAAATGAACACTTCAGAACTCCATAAAAACCCAGCTCCCCTACATAATTTGTATCAGAATTGAAGCACTGAGGTTCCGTTTGGTTACTAAGAAACATAAAAAGAAAGAAAGGAAAAATAAAATAGATCGGAACTTAATTGAAATAAGCACTTCATTATCTAATCTTTGAATTGTGATGCTATTTTGTTTTTTTATCGTAATATATTCACATTGTTAATAAAATAAGCTACATGGGTTGATGCTTACATGTTAATTGGAATTGGTTGCATTGGTCCACAGATGTTAATTGAAATTACTTATTGGGTATAATATAGACACAATTTATAGTCATCTTTATTTGGTTTAATATGTGATGTACATGTATGTGAAAATAATTTGATAACATCAATAAAATATATGGGGTAAGTGAAAGAAACACTCTTTAAAGTATCCTTTTCATAGCACTTTTACATTTTATTTAAAAAGATGTATAAAAAAACACCCATATTTTTTTTAATTTGTGCAAAAACACCCATCAATTAATATAATGCCCATTTTACCATTTTACTCTCCCAAAAATGCCTCTACCATACCTTACTCTCCATCCCAAAACCGCAACCACTGTCTGCGACCGTAATAGGTCTTGATGCACCGGTGATGAACTGGGTCTCTAACAGGCAATGAGATTGCTCATGGCAGAACCAAGAGTTGGAGAAGCATACTCTATCCCTTTATATCGAAACATCTGATAAGTGAACCCGACACACACACACAAGAACTCTAAGGAGGCAGGTTTTACCCACAAGAAATCTGTCAAATGGAGGAAGTGGTGTTTTTCTGTAGAAAATGAATAACATACTCACTTGGTCTGTTAAACATACTGGCATCACGATCCAAGCTTGGAGCCTGTATTGCAATCACCGGAGAAGAAGGGGCATGTGAAAAAAGTGTTAGATCTACTCGCATGAGCGTGTGGCGGCGAGTGGGCGGCGATGTTTAGTCCGGCAATGGTGGTCTGTGCTCGAAGTTCAGTTGATATATGGTAAAATCACACATATTACTAATATGCTTGCTAGCATGTAATTCTGTCCTAGGGGCTGTTGAGTCAACAGTGTTGTATTTACGGGTCGCTTTCCTAATTAAGCTGCCTACCTATATTTAGGATAGCAGTCACAAGCACTACTCAATCAAAGGATGACAGTCACGGAATTGATGGCAGTTCGCGAGGGCAATAACCTTAGAACAGCGGCCGGCGAGTAAGGGGAATCTCGACGAGTGGTGGCGATGGCAGTGAAGAGCGATTTCGGCGATGGGCAGTGGAGAGGACTGATTTAGCCGCGAGCTTGCGACGCCTCCGTCTTATCTCCCTCCCCGGAGACGCCTCCATCTTTATCTCATCCACTCCCCCACGACGTCATCTACCTCTCACTCTCTTTTCGTCGACGTGTATATTTATACTATGTGCAAAGTCTTTCAGTATTTCATTATTTATTTATTAATTAATATAAATTTTATAAAATTTAAAATTGCCTAATAAAATTAAAATTAATTCAAATTAACAAAATATAAAAAGAGTTTAATTCAAATTACAAAGTCCTACATTAGTTTTAAGTAAAAATGATTACATAAAAGCCTCTTATAAAATTATAGAGCTAAAAAAATAATAATCACGCTCTCTCCGTCTTTTGGCTAAGATCAAGTGTAATACTAAATTTTTTTAGATCTGCCTTTTGACTAACATTTTCTGATCTTTTGGCTAAGATCAAGTGTAGTATTACTTTCTCAGCTTTTGTGCAAAAAGTTTCAGTATTTATTTATTAATTGATATAAATTCTATAAAACTCAAAATTACCTAATAAAATTCAAATTAACAAAATATAAAATAGTTTAATTCACAATAAAGAACTCTCATTAATTATTATATTCCACGATATAAATTCTATATCTATATCTATACTATTATTAAATGTGCAAAGTGTTTCAGTATTTAAGTATTTATTTATTAATTGATATAAATTATATAAAACTCAAAATTACCTAATAAAATTAAAATTAATTCAAATTAACAAAATATAAAAAGAGTTTAATTCAAATTACAAAGTCCCACATTGGTTTTAAGTAAAAATGATTACATGAAAGCCTCTTATAAAACTATAGAACTAAAAAAATAGTAATCACACCTTCTCGGCCTTTTGACTAAGATCAAGTGTAGTACTAATTTTTTTTTTGTTGGCATTTTGGCTAACCTTTCTTGGTCTTTTGGCTAAGATCAAGTGTAGTACTACTTTATCGGCATTTGTGCAAAGAGTTTCAGTATTTATTTATTAATTGATATAAATTCTATAAAACTCAAAATTACCTTATAAAATTCAAATTAACAAAATATAAAAGAGTTTAATTAGCAATAAAGAGCTCTCATTAATTATTATATCACATAATATAAATTCTATAAAACTCAAAATTACTTAATAAAATTCAAATTAATTCAAATTAACAAAAATACAAAAGGAGTTTAATTCAAATTACAAAGTCCCACATTGCTTTTAAGTAAAGAAGATTACATGAAAGTATCTTATAAAAGTTTCAGTGTTTCAGTATTTATTTATTAATTGATATAAATTCTATAAAACTCAAAATTACCAAATAAAATTAAAATTAATTCAAATTAACAAAATATAAAAATAGTTTAATTCAAATTAAAAAGTCGCACATTGGTTTTAAGTAAAAAGGATTACATAAAAGTCTTTTATAAAACTATAGAGTTAAAAAAATTATAATCACACATTCTCGACCTTTTGGCTAAGATCAAGTGTAGTACTAAATTTTTTTGAGTCGGCCTTTTGGCTAAACTTTTTTGGTCTTTTGGCTAAGATCAAGTGTAGTACTACTTTCTCGGCCTTTGTACAAAAAGTTTCAATATTTATTTATTAATTGATATAAATTATATAAAACTCAAAATTACCTTATAAAATTCAAATTAATTCAAATTAACAAAATATAAAAGAGTTTAATTCACAATAAAGAGCTCTCATTAATTATTATATCCCACGATATAAATTCTATAAAACTCAAAATTACCTAATAAAATTAAAATTAATTCAAATTAACAAAATATAAAAAGAGTTTAATTCAAATTACAAAGTCCCACATTGGTTTTAAGTAAAAAAGGATTACATGAAAGCCTCCTATAAAACTATAGAGCTAAATAAATAATAGTCACACCTTCTCGACCTTTTGGCTAAGATCAAGTGTAATACTAAATTTTTTTGGGTCGGCCTTTTGGCTAACCTTTCTTAGTCTTTTGGCTAAGATCAAGTGTTGTACTACTTTTTTGGCCTTTGTGCAAAGAGTTTCAGTATTTATTTATTAATTGATATAAATTCTATAAAACTCAAAATTACCTAATAAAATTCAAATTAATTAAAATTAACAAAATATAAAAGAGTTTAATTCACAAAAAGTAGCTCTAACTCACGCGTTATAAATTATATAAAACTCAAAATTACCTAATAAAATTAAAATTAATTCAAATTAACAAAATAAAAAAAGAGTTTAATTCAAATTATAAAGTCCCACATTGGTTTTAAGTAAAAAGGATTGCACGAAAGACTCTTATAAAACTATAGAGCTAAAGAAATAATAATCACACCTTCTCGGTCTTTTGGCTAAGATCAAGTGTAGTACTAAATTTTTTTGGGTCGACCTTTTGGCTAACCTTTCTTGGTCTTTTGGCTAAGATCAAGTGTAGTACTACTTTCTCGGCCTTTGTGCAAAGAGCTTCAGTATTTATTAATTAATTGATATAAATTATATAAAACTCAAAATTAATATAAAAGAGTTTAATTCATAATAAAGAGCTCTCATTAATTATTATATCCCATGGTAAAAATTCTATAAAACTCAAAATTACCTCATAAAATTCAAATTAATTCAAATTAACAAAATATAAAAAGAGTTTAATTCAAATTACAAAGTCCCACATTTGTTTTAAGTAAAAAAGATTACATGAAAGCCTCTTCTAAAACTATAGAGCTAAAGAAATAATAATAAATTCAAATTATACTATACTACTCACACAAAATATAAAAACAGTAATTACCTAATAAAATTCAAACTAACAAATCATATTATACTACTCTTATTAATTATTATATCCCACGATTGCACAGGAAGGGATTCAAAACCTAAACCAAACCCAAATGGACCAAATAATTCTTTCCACACTTGAGAACAAACATATTTAAATTAAGTACCATATTTGATCTGAACATTTCGGAATAGTTTTAGAGTTATTATTGAAAATTCAATTTATAATCAATTGTGTTGGACCAAATGGTCCATATATTAAATTATTTGTTTCATATTTTTTATTTAATAAAATCCTTTATGTAAATGATTCGCAAGTTTATTATTGTAAGCCACACTAAAAATGATATATCGGAAAACAAAATTAATACATCAAACGACAGAGACAACCCAATATACAATAACCAACCAAGCAGGAAAAGCAAAATACAACACAACCTCTCCTAATTTGAGAACCCCCAAAGCTTTGAAACTTAACACATGCTTCCACGGTAATAAATTACTAAATTATAATAACAGTAATTACTTAATAAAATTCTAATTAACAAAATATAAAAATAGTTTAATTCACAATTCAAATTACACTATAATA